TAGGGATGAACGAGTTTAAGAGTTTTTAAGAGTTTTAGCCAAATGCTTTATAAGATAGTATAGATATTTGTCAATTTAGATTTGTGTAAAAATTACCCCAAGAAAACAAAACTTACATAACGACCCTCCAAACCATCTCATACATAACGAATTGCCAGACTTTTAAGCTCTTTCTTTTCGTCAAATAAACAACATGAAAACGAATAAAAAACTAAAATAACTAGTATTCTTGGTTTCAACTTTTTTAACAATTCAAATCCAGTCTTGAATTTTGATTTAGTACCATTCTTGCTCGAGATTATATTGATAATTTCGTCATTTTGGTCGACAATCATAGTCCATTTTATTTTAATTAATGTGGATTTTGGCTCACATTTCTAACTTATAACTTTATGGTGATTTTTCGTAGGCAGGTTGGTAAATAAGTAATTTAAATAGCAATTAATGATGATGTTTATAAATAGGTCGTCTGTGACAGCTTTCATCTTTGAACAAGTTCAATAAAACCAAAGGGTCTTTTAGCTTAGCGGTATATGAGTCATTGGCCTCCTACATGTCAGAGCTTTAAATCTCACCAAATGTGAGGAGGGTGTGTAAGTTTATTTGTTTATTTGTCGTATATAAATATTATATACTTCAAAAAACAAGTTAAATAAAAAGAAAGAAAAATAATTTACAAGAAAAACATGAATATTAAACTTACCATGTAACATTTCACCCTTCACTTATGTTATTGTAATCTATTGCCAAGAAATCATAAGTCTGAAATTGGAATAAAATATAAAAAGGGTGTGATAAACCTTATAATATTAAACCACGAGGACTGAAATTGGAATAATTCTATAACTCTGACACTAAAGTGTAATGCAGTCTATAGTTGAGGGACTAAAACTGAATTAGCTGAAAAATAAAAGAAAAATGCAAAAATAAGGTTCCACCGAGACTTGAACTCGGGTTACTGGATTCAGAGTCCAATGTCCTAACCGCTAGACCATGGAACCACTTTGTGTTTATAACCAATTTTATAATTCTATATAAATAATAGGTTTGATATTTACAGGAAAAAATGGAATTTCCAGTTCTTGAATATTAAATAAAATAATAATAATAACAATTATATATTTACTAATAATTATTTATTATTTCGATATTTTAACGAAAATGATTTCTTAACATATTAAATAAAAAATAATTCTGTATCATAATTTTTAATTAGAATATCATTTAAAGTTATATATTTTAATATATTCAAATAAATTTTGATGTAAAATTGTTTATATTAACCTGAAAGTCATTGATTTAGTATATCATTCGCGGATTTGGGTCGGAACCGAACCGAGGTTAACTTATTTTTTCCAACGGGTATAATATGGTAAAATCAAGCTCGTTTTTATAGGCTTGAAAACTTACCCGTATCTACCCTATAAATGGGACGGACTTGCTCAGAGACTAATAGGCTTAAAAATCTTGTTATATTTTTATGAAAACAAAACGTATATAAAATCACAAGTTATGTAAAATAATTCAAAATACATAGCAATTTTTCCAACTTAAAATTTGACGTAAGTACATGACAAGATACATACTTTAGAAAGAAATTGTTTCACTAAATATGAAGTATCGATAAAGAAAATAACTAAATGAGATAATAAGGATTTAATCAATTGAGGTAATTATATTTTCAAATCTAAGACTTTTAAAAAATGTTATTATCATGAGTCATAATTAAGTAGGAATTGTATTAAAAATTTTCAATTTTATTTGTAAAATTTAATTATAAAAGTTAATTATTACAAAAATATTAATAGGTCTGATGGATCTGTCCAAATATTTTTTTTTCCATTGTCCATGTTCACTTATTAATTTTAACAAGTCAGTCCAGGTTTGTCCATTTCTTTGAGAATGGTAATCTAAGTCCGCTTTTCTAACATGACGGATCTAACAGGTCATCATACCCGTAAACAGCTTTAGCAGAGTCCAACTTCTTTAAAAATCGCTTATCCTAATTATATTTTATATTTTTTATATATAAAATGAGATGTTTATTCTCCAGGTTATGTTTATCTGTAGTTAGTTACACGAATTCAAACATGAAACTTTAATAAGTTGTATTTACGTACAATTTACATGTAATTTTGAATTTTAAGTAATATGTATCAATAAACATTATTTAATGCATAAAAATGGTTTTTAAAAGTTTTTATCAAATACTTTATAATATAATGTGTGTATATATATATACATGCATTATTAGGAATTCATCTAATTACCATTTACCATATCATTTGAACATGAAACGTGACAATTGACATTTCAAGAATGTGGCTTAACCGATCCGTACCTAACTTTTAACCTATAGCTGTAACAAGAAAATTAACATGAGAAAAATGTGTAAAATTTTACTTCTAAGTCATTATTTATTTTCAAACAGGCAATTATCTTTGACAACTTAGCAAATCAACAACTGATGGACTTGCAACTCCTAGCGTATGTTATCGTCTTTGCGGTTCTTGTATCAAGAATCATATCGTTATGGCTCACCAGATTTTCCCAACAAACGGTGGGTCGACTTCCACCAGGCCCACCAAGATGGCCTATAGTTGGCAATCTTCTCCAACTAGGGCCACTGCCTCATAGGGACCTAGCTTTGTTTTGTGAGCAGTATGGCCCATTGGTCTATCTTCGTCTCGGAAAAGTTGATGCGATCACCACCAACGACCCCAATATAATTCGTCAGATACTTTGCCAACAAGATGATGTATTTGCATCGCGGCCACAAACCCTAGCTGCAATTCACCTAGCGTACAACTGTGGTGATGTTGCATTAGCGCCTTTCGGGCCTCGATGGAAATGGATGAGAAGGATTTGTATGGAGCAACTTCTTACAACAAAGCGACTTGAATCGTTCGCAAAACAACGTGCTAGTGAAGCCCAACATCTCGTACAAGATGTATGGGCTTTGGCTCAGGCTGGTGACCCGGTTAACCTAAGAGAAGTTTTAGGTGCGTTTTCTATGAATAACGTGACCCGAATGTTGTTAGGGAAGCAATACTTTGGGTCGGGCTCAGCCGGACCGAAAGAGGCCATGGAGTTTATGCACATAACTCATGAACTCTTTTGGCTACTAGGATTGATCTATTTGGGTGATTATTTACCATTTTGGAGATGGATTGACCCGTATGGTTGTGAAAAGAAAATGAGAGAAGTGGAGAAAAGGGTCGATGATTTTCATATGAAGATCATAGAAGAACATAGGAAAAGGAAGATGAACGGAGATCAAAAAGACGACATGAATATGGACTTCGTTGACGTTTTATTGTCGTTACCGGGTAAAGATGGCAAAGATCATATGGATGACAACGAAATCAAAGCTTTAGTTCAAGTAATCTCACTTATAACATATCTGAAATAGTTGGATTAAGTCATTTAAATGAGACATATCATGATTTATTCAATGTGTTGCTAATTCCAGGATATGATAGCTGCGGCAACAGATACTTCGGCTGTGACTAACGAATGGGCAATGGCCGAAGTAATCAAACATCCTCATGTCCTCTACAAGATCCAAGAAGAACTTGACGAGGTTATTGGTCGTGACCGAGTGGTCACCGAGTCAGATTTGTCAAATCTTAATTACCTACGATGTGTGGTACGAGAAACCTTCCGAATGCACCCAGCCGGACCATTTCTCATCCCTCACGAGTCCATACACGACACCGAGATCAACGGCTACCACGTCCCCGCCAAGACACGTGTCTTCATCAACACTCATGGTCTAGGGCGAAACACGCTGATATGGGATGATATCAACGTGTTTCGACCAGAGCGACATTTGACCACTGACGGGTCCCGAGTGGAGATAAGTCACGGAGACGATTTCAAAATCTTGCCTTTTAGTGCAGGAAAGAGAAAGTGTCCTGGTGCGCCACTTGGTGTGACATTTGTGTTGATGGCATTGGCTCGACTTTTCCATTGCTTCAATTGGATCCCGCCCGATGGTTTAAGGTGTGAGGATATTGACACAGAAGAAAAATACGGTATGACAATGCCAAAAGCCAAACCATTGATGGCCATTGCAAAACCCCGTTTAGCAATTCATATGTATCAATCGTAGTCCAATAACTCGTATTTGTTATTTTTGAATCAAAATACTGAAGATCCTACATACGAAGACCTCCATAACGTGGTTGACTTTTATTTACAAAAGTGTTTTGACTATTCAATAGCGGTTAAAATATCTTTTAATAAAAACAAAAGTAACTCTATACCTTGTTACTAATCGTTAATTTTTTTAATAAAATAAAACTATAGAAATCCATCATATAATTCGAACATCAAATGATTATAGCAAAATGCCATTTTGAAAGACTTTTATGAGAAAAAGGACATCACGCCACTCAAAGGAATCGTTTATGTGTACTTTGACAATCTCCGTAGTTTGTATTTATGGGATGTGCTATTACCCCTCGGCATGTGTTGGTCGTAGGGACGTTCTAATCTTTTTGGATGTTCTGTTACATTTGTAACTACATTATAGATTGACAAGACGAGTAATAATTAAAAAACAAATCATAGCACCCATTATATTAAAAAGCTTACAAATTAAAACAACGGTAAGTCTGAAGCTAACAAAGTAACATATGAAATTCATTTAAACAAAATCATTCTCTTAATGTGTCAGAAATCTCCAAATCAACGAAAGGTAAATACCTAAAACATTATAATTAAGCGAAAGGTTAAAACATATATAATTGGGTCCCAAATTTTTTGAGGTCTTGTTTCATATGACACATTGGATCACCCTTCTGCACAAACATCCAATATGACACATGATTTATTCGACCATGTCTAGTCGAATTCACATGTGATTGATTTGATCAAGACGTACATACGTACAATATAAAAAGGAAGAATAGGAAATTTTGAGGCTCTATCTTTGTCCCATTTTTTTTATTGTATTTTGATGATGGAAGATTATTGGTGTCGTCGAGGTTGAATATCAGAGCAATGGTGCCAAAGAACGAGATGAGGATATTTCATTGATGGAGACGAGAGTGTTACGTCGATGAGGTTAGGGGTATTTCACTGATCGAGTGGGTTTCATTGGAGTGCTCGATTATATATAATATAAATAAAATAAAATATTATACTATAATATAAAAATTAGGAAAATGCGAGAATGATCAAAATACCCCTTGGATAGTTGGATTAACAGACTTTTTTTCATTAAGACAAGGGACCGAATTCGAAACAAAATATAAACCATGGGGAATGGGGAGAATAAGGGGTCGTTGACTAAATGTTTACCAAGTCATATTTTCTTACCGGATGAATATGACAAGGAGCAAAAATCTTATATGGTAAGATCGAAGGCAAGGACCGAAAATCTTATCCGATTAGAAATGACATGGCTCTTACGACGGTTAGCAATTATCGGGTAGATTGTTACATATGATGTGATTTTGGTAGCATCTTACCGGGTAAGTAAGCAATTGAATGTTAGCGTTAACCGGAGCCGATCTTCTCGTTTCAATTGTCGAACTTGGTCTCATCTGCACATAAGGAGTCGAGTCGGAGTTGCGGATGGACCGATGAGTTATATATACCAGAAGAGAAGGAGATAATCGCAAAAAAGCCTCATCTAGGTGTTATCCGAAAGTGAATTGTTGAATCGAAATCGCTGCACAGTTATTTTCTCTACACGGTAAGTGTAAAGATTTTGCTTGCACGTAGCCAATGCTCATATAATTGATTTAAAAAAAAATACTTTAAAATGATGAGATTTTATGATGGTATCCGCTTTTTGATATCTTTTACCTGTAATGAATTGGTTTGATGCATTCTAGGTGTTTGTTAAAATGCCTGAATGAGAATGAATGTAGAAATGTTCTGGATTGTGTTTTTAGTTTCATTAGATGTCATTAGATGTGTTTCTTGATTCAACTTCTGTTGTTTTTGTAAAGGTCCAAGGTGAATCAAAGGGAGCTTCTCCATCATCATGTTTCTTCGTGGGGCAGCATTGATATTACCCAAATCAAGAAGGTTGTTTAACAGTAGCAGTAGCCATGATCTTGCCAGCACTATTGCTGAGCTCAATAAGGTATCATAAAGTTATGATTTGTTTCTTTTAACTTGATATATTCTTCAGCATGGGAAGATGTCTTAAAAAATGCATGTACTTATGTACCAGGGGACCTCATAATGTTCTATCTATTGGTCACTCTACTTATATGGGATACTTACTCTATGATCAGATCTGGTAGTTTATGATGCCGGCGTGAAACAGTGATGCTGACGATTGGGTTTCTATTCATCTAGGATTTCGATATTTACAAACCATGATCAATGTTTAGGCTAGGAAACAATCAAACAATAAATGGGGTTGTATCTATATAATATGTATATATATAGGTGGAGGTTCAAACGAAAACACCTTCAATCACAAGAACACTCTTATCACATGTGATGATACATGTGAGGGGACTTGGTGGTGCACGGGTGACTTGGCCCGTGATCTAGGCCATGCCAAAGGTTGCCCGTGTCTTTGATTTAGTATCGGATGTGATTGACTATTAAAAAGAGGGCCTTCTTGAGTTTTCATAAGATGGTGGTGTTCTTATTTGAACCCTTCCCTCTCTCTATATATATGCCTATATATAGGGGTGGGTTCAAACCGGAAGACAGTTAACTTAAGAGAATTGTGAGAAGGGCCAAATCACAAACTAAAGATACACAATTTCCTGAAAAATGAAACATCAACATAAGTGAAAACACAAACTAAAGATACGCATTTCTGTCTTGAAGTTAAACCTCTCTTGAATTTTATATTTAGTATGGATATTGTATAAAGTATAATCTAGTTGTCAATAATTTAAATATATTTTCAGTCGAAAATAATCCATTTTTCCTCCCAGTGAAACTGTACCCTTATCCAGGATGGAGGGAATAAATCACTGGATGCTCAGTGTTATAGCTCATATATTATATTTGATTTCAGGAGATGGAATTTGTTTTTGGTGAAGCTCCACCTACAAGTCTTGCTGGTTCCAGTGAAAGTCAACCTACGGATCGAGATTCTCAATCTATATCTGTAGAAAAAATCGCAAACGAATCTAAGTTGACCCATATTAGCACGAAAGGTGAAGCTCAAATGGTGGATGTCTCTCACAAGGATATTAGCAAGAGAGTTGCTATTGCTAGTTGCAAGGTTATTTTGGGGAAGAAAGTATACGGTTTAGTTTCTGCCAACCAGCTTGCCAAGGGAGATGTCTTTAGTGTAGCGAAGATAGCTGGAATAACTGGAGCGAAGCAGACTAGCAACCTTATCCCACTATGCCATAATATCAATCTAACACATGTTCGGGTTGATTTAAGATTAAATCCTCATGATTATTGTGTTGAAATAGAAGGTGAGGCCGCTTCAACCGGGGAAACCGGGGTCGAGATGGAAGCAATGACAGCAGTTACCCTTGCTGGCTTAACGGTGTATGATATGTGTAAAGCTGCATCAAAGGATATTCAGATTACGGATGTGCGACTGGAACACAAAACTGGAGGGAAAAGTGGGGATTGGTCCAGGGAGAAATGATGATTGTTCAAATATATAATCTTCCTATGATCATGGCGGTTAGTGCTAAAAACTTTCCTTCTTGCTTATCACGTCATATTAGGCCGTTGCCCTCCTTGTTCTGAACTGAATCTGAAACTGTAATATGAATGAATTCAATACAATCGAAAAAAATATATTCCCAGCAGAAATGGATGATAAACTTTCCCATGAAACTTAATCCACAAAACCTATTTTTATTAATATGTATGTACTTTGAGTTGAGAGAATTTAATGTTGTATGTATTCCTTCAATCCATGGAGCTACATTTATGCATAAAAGACCCAACTAAAATACATAAAACTATAAACATAATACACATTAGCCCTAGGGCCTGTTTGTTAGCAACTTAATGAGCTTAATGTGACTCACAGCTTATTCGGTCAGCTATACATCACTGTTTGATGGTGGCTTAATGGTACAGAAAGTGGCTTATTCAGTAAGCTTCTTAGGGGGAGCTTTATGTAGAAAGCCAAGTTTTTTTTCCCGAACATGCCCCTCCAATAAATAAACACGCTCCTTCCATATATGAAAAGCGCTCCAAAACAAAAACCTTCCCGATTTATACAGACAAATTAATCCATACAAATAGCTTTATCCATTCAGGAATTAGTGGAAACCAACCAAACAACCCCTTACTACTACATATTCACATAGAACACCTTATACTTCTACATCCCCCTCTCAAGCTAGGGAGTATATGTTCATCATTACTAGCTTGGAACAAAAATCTTCGAGATGTAGGCCATTGAAGAGCTTTGGTTTATGTCTGTAGTTTGCTTGCCAATCAAGTGTCTATCAATTTCCACTTGTTTTATTTTATCGTCGTGGACCGGTTTCTTTGCAATGCTGATTGCAACTTTATTATCACATAGGAGTGAGATTTTAGTATTTTGGTGAGCCACATTCCTTTGCATATACTTTATGACATTGCTGTGTATTATGCAATAAACACCGTTTCTTGCTAGAATAGATTGTTTTTTGCTCATCCACGTGACATAGTCGCCCCCATACGAATGAACAATATCAAGAAGTAGATCTTGAATCAGTTAGGTATTTAACCCAATCCTCATAGGTGAATACCTTAGATTTTTCTATCATACCCAGGGGCGGACCCACATGGAATGATACGGTGGCATGGGCCACCTCTTCATGGTTCCGTCATAAAGGGAAAAAAATTTCGTTTTTGAAGGGTGCCACCATATTGTTTTGTTGGGTGCCACCATATAGTTTTTGAAACTGAAATGTTAGCACAAGACTTTAATGGCTAAGATCTTTGTAGAAAAGGCCCCTGGTTCGAGTCTCACAGTTGTCAAGTTTGTTGTTTTTTATATACTTTTTGTGTTCTAAAAAATATACGTAGATTGGACTTAAACATGGGAACCAACCAACATATCTATATTGATATCACGAAAAAGAAATTTAGATATTTTTTATAGTCAAATTTTGCCGCCACTTGCCACTTGGAAAATTTTCTAGGTCCGCCTCTTATTATACCCCTTTTTGAATGCCAATCCTTTGCTTGGTGTACCCTTATGGTACCTTAGAATCTTTTATGTTGCAACTGGAGGAAATCCCTACCTTGCCGCCTTCTTCGTGAATCGACCGCGATGCAATTTTTGTGATTTGTGTGGGTTAGGAATAGGAGTGGGTTCAGATTCAAGTTCAGGTTCGGCTGCAGTAGGCGTTCCAGGTTCCGGTGTGGATTGACTAAGCGTCTGTTTGGTTGATTTTTTTATTAAGTCCTGTATAAATGAAGTTGTTTGTGTTGGTTAATATGTATATATATATTGGGAAAGTTTTTGTTTGTGTAGGGCTTTTTCATAAATGTAAGGAGTGTGTTTTTTAATTTTCTAGAAGCTTATTAAATAAGCCATTTTCTATATTTTTAAGACACTATCAAACAATCATGTATAGCTATCCGAATAAGCTGCGAGTTCCATTAAGTTACTAGCAAACAGTGAAACAAGCCCTCATTGTACTCCACATGAGAAATTGTTCATTGAAGTATATAAATATTTATATACGACAAACTCACACACATCTCACGTATGGTGTGGTTGAATCCTTGACTTCCAAAGAAGTTGGGACGTACAAATAATCGAGGTGCTGCTGGGCCATTGACCCTTTGACGATAAATTGTTGATTGTTGCACTCCAAAATGCAGGGGGGATGTCTTATAGTTTGAAAGTTACAAGTCTACAACTCAGTGGATAGTCTCCGACTAGTACTGCCGTAAATGTTGTACTTTGTGCTTCAAAAGTTGTACCTTGTGCTATGAAGATTATACATTAGTATTGTGTTTGGTTTATTAAATGTTTATGGGGTAAGCGTTTATAAGTAAAAGTTATTATTCATACTTACCTTATCGAGGTAAGATTATCGGTTATCAAAACGTTATAGTAGGAAGTAATCTTATCTGATAGTCTGAAATTCTTCCAATTTGGAGAACTCCACAAAAATTATCACGATGAAATTTTTTTTATTGTAATCTCATAAATAAGCAACTTTGAAATTAAATGTTGAAGAGAGACAAATAATATTTTATTACATGTATGAAATATTTTAATAATATGATTAGTGTTATAACGTCAAAAATAGAAAAGTTGTTTGCTTTTAGAAATTCTGAATTTTAAATATCTATTTTTAGAGAATACCAGAAGGGTATTCGCACAATGTATATTTTAATGTTTCATTTTATTTATTTGTTGTCTCGATCAATGTTATAATACGGTTTTATGTAATTCTGAAAAAACGATAATGTTTTTATTTTTAAATAAAATATAACTATGACGATATATATATTTTTTATAAAAATATTGATATTGGTACCAAACTGAATATTTTAAATTTCTCCTTTTTTGTATATTTTTTTAATTCATTTTTTTGTTTAATAATATAATTTTTTATAAATATAATAATTAAGTATTTTGTTTTAACTCAATTATTATCCTAATTATATTTTAGATTTTTTATATTTAAAATTAGATGTTTATCTTCTATTTAATTATGTTTATCTGTAATTAATTACACTAATACAAACATGAAACTTTAATAAGTTATATTTAGACACAATTTACTTGTAATATTAAATTTTAAGTAATATGTATTAATAAACAGTACTTCATGTACAAAAAATAATTTTTAAGAATTTTTGTTATATGTTTTATAATATAGTATAGACGTTGGAGATGGTATAGTAAATTATACTCCTTAGTCCCAAAAATAAGTGTCCACAATAAATTGACACACAATTTTAAACATGTAAAATTATTATGTTTTTTTAGTTAACCAAATAACAACTTTGCTTTTTAATTAAGGGAGAACTGGTTCAAGCATAACCATAAAATTGAGACTGATTTTTCATTCCCTTCAATTTAACATGGAATAAAAATTTGGTAATATTAATTTAATATTAATATATTTTTTTGTAAATTTTATATGATATATTTATATTTTATTCAAAAATTGAACATTATTGCTTTCTCAAAACTATATAAAATCGTATTAGATAGACATAGATAAAAAATAAAACGAAACATCAAACTCGAAATGCATTTCAAAGCATTGCACGAGTATCTTTTTAGTATTATATAAAATCAAACAATTTTTATTTATTTTTTTTCATTACTATTAGTATTAATTACTGTTATTAATTCTAATAAAAAAAATCCCCCAAAATTGTATATTTTTTCGGCTCTCAATTAACCACATCTCCTGGACAAAACGAAAGGGAAACAAATTCAAAGTAGCAAAGCAAAAGGTCAAAATTCAAAAACCGGTGCTCCGGCCATGGAATGGGAGGCGGATGATCGGAAAGCGGTGGTGGTAGGGTTGATAGAGAAGGCTACCAATTCAATTAAACCAGACTTGGATCCGAGAATCCTCAAATCAATCAAATCGGTTGTCCGCCACTCTGATTCAGAGCTGCGGCTCGCGGCCGAAAACCTAATGAGCCTCATGAAACGAGACCACTCTCAGGTCTGTCCATCTCATACCACTGTTGATGAAACTAATTTGTAGATAAGTGCTTAGAGTTTTTCAGTTTTCATGAGTTTTGTTGCATATTGTTCTTAAATTTCGCAATTCTGACTTTTGAGCTTTATCATCGATCGCGGTTTTGTTGGAATTAGGAAGTGCTCAGCTATTTGATACGTTATGTGCATAAACCATGTCATGCATGCCATCTTGGCAATGTGAACCATACTAATATTATATTGATAGCCTCACTCATCTGAGTATCCTGGTTTAGCATATAAGAAGTGGTTTCTGGTTTTTTTCCCAAGTTTTGATGATATTTTTGGATAACTGTATTTGGGTATGGGTGAAGAACTCCACCGGTGGTGGCATCTCGTTAGTCGTTATTGTGAACCAATACTGTCAAGGGCTGGGTACAAAAGAAGTTCATGGAGACATACATTCGAAGCTATGAATGTCTCTCTCTCTACATATATATGTAGAGAGAGAGACTTGGTATCATGTGAGAACACCCAGTTTTCGTGAGACCACTTTGGAACCCTTGGTTGAGTTGTTCTTGACAAGTATAAGAACACTAACCTTGGCAGAAAATTTTTGTCATCTAATTGGGAAGTTATCCACCTGTGTATCATAGGTCCACATATCTTATACTCATGTGCTGTCTTATGTCCAATCTGTACATTTTTCAGAGGGAATGTTGCTCTCTGTACCTTAAGGGATCTAAGAACAAAGATATATCATATTTTGATTTGGGAAATTGTAAATTGTAAAATGGTGTATTTTTGCTTAGGAAAGACTTTGCAGGATTGTTGATTTTTCTAATACTGACTGAACAAAGTGCCCAACACGTATAACTACTACACGTTATCTTGTCTTTGTTGGTGGGGATCCAATATCTTGGAAGAGTAATCAAAATGTTCCTCATTTCAGTGCCAAGTTCTTGTGTCGATCCATGACCAAGATACATTCAAAATGGACCAGTTTACCCTATACTTTGAAAATAAAAATATCCATTTATGCTTTGTTTTTGGTTCACTTTTTGATGGTATCGTTGGAGAGAAAAAAGTATTCATCTCTGTATTTTATGCCAATTGAGATTTGTTAACTAGTGTTCCCAGGAAAAAGAGGGACAATTACTTCCCAAAAATTGAGAACAAATGTAATAGAACAATCAAAAAAGCGACTCGATGTTGAGCTGTTCTGATCTTTTTCTTCTGTCTGACCTTACAATCTACAGACTGGTGGACCCTCTGGGATGTCCATGTCCTTGCTGACTCCATCTTCTTAGTCACTATCATCAAATATTTTGACAGTTGGAATCTCAAAAGCATCCTCCACTAATCTGTTACACAACTATACACACATACACATATATCTGAATTCAGACAAAAAAAATGAAGAGTGATGAGTGAAACTTGAGGTTGTTATCTGATCGGTGTTCGGCTATGATCTGACAGCTCTGATTGAATCAAAAAACACAGTACAACCAATGCTTATGCTATGGCCTATATATATACATGGGACTGAAGAGGGAGGGAGGGAGGGAGGGAGAGAGAGAGAGAGTGTGTGTTCCATGGATTTGAAGAGAAGATGAGAGCGGGTCAACGCAGATGTCGTTGGTGATTAGTCTCAGCTTATCCAAGTCATGTTGATAATCATTAAATTAACAATATTAGATTTCATCTTCAAGCTTAACTTTTCAAGATAATAAATATACACAAATCTGTTACCTGTTTAACAAAGTTGATGAAATTAATGAATTTGAAATGTATGCTGGTCAAGATTAAAAAATAAATGATCAGAATGGTGTAATTTGATGCTGATGTAGCTTTCCTTTCAGTGGTGGTGGCAATACACACAACACAAAAAAAGAGTGTGGGTGTGATTAGTTGTAGTTAGTAGGCTTTGCAGCAGCCGACCTTTCAAAGTTTGTATGTCCAGTTTCTACCCAGTTTAGTTGTTAAAATTGTTTATAACCTCAGTAGCTCACATGGTTAATGGGACTTTGTAGCAGAAATCTTAGTCAACTATGAATCACCATAGCAGGTTAGGGGTATCAACACCTTTGTTGTTGATCGACTCTTTCATTGCGAGAAGGTGTTTTAAAGAATTTGTTTCTACAAGAAAGATCTCATTCAGTCGTATTACTTTTGGAGGCATCAACACAATGCTTCTTTGTTTGTTGTACAGGTTTAAAGAGCTTTCATCTTGCAAAAAATAGGTGTTATTGAGATGAAATTCTGACTTATAGTTATATTGCAGGTACGGTACCTTACACTAGCTATAATCCATGAACTGTTCATGCGGTCAAAGCTTTTCCGAGCCCTTATTGTTGAGAATTTGGACCAATTGTTGACTTTAAGTGTTGGGTTCCGAAGAAACCAGCCTCTTCCTGCTCCTCCAGCCATTGCATCCAAGTTGCGTTCAAAAGCAATAGAATTCTTAGAGAGATGGAACTCTACATTTGGAATCCACTACAGGCAGCTTAGATTAGGGCATGATTACCTGAAAAATACCCTTAGATTTCAGTTTCCTAATCTTCAAGCAAATGCAGCAAGAGTTCAGCAGGAGAGAAGAGAAAGAGAGTTGCGGACGAAAGAGATTCTGTTAAAGAAATATGAACTTTTGAAGTCAAATTTTTCTTCAATCAAGGATGAAGTAAATTCAATAGTTGATGAAATTAGTGAATGCTTAGATATCCTTATAACTTCTAAAGAAGATAACCTGCCACTGGATCCTATTGATGAAGAAGATGTTGATGAATTTCGTGGCGTTGAATTGCGTCGGATTCGTGACAATTCATTGAAAGAAGCAGACAAGGTACAAGAAAATAGCGAAAATAAAGTGGTTTTCGATGCATTAAGAGAACTTTACAAGCTTTTAGTGACCAAACATATAGTTGCCGTGCAAGAATCGGTTTCTGTTCTTGTAAGGGTTGAATTGTCTGATAATAGGCTTAGAGACTCCATGTTAAAGGAATTCATTGACATTCGAAATCATCTCAAATCGATAAAAAAGAAGTGCGAAGAAGCAGGGTGTGCTCTTACGAACCCTGCAGACGAAGGGGAAGAAGATATTTGGGAAGAGGGCGCAAGTGAATCGTTTGATATTTCAACATCTTCGACGCCAAATAAGCAGAGCGAAGATCATGCAAATAAGAGAAACGATTCTCCTGAATGCAGTAATAGTAAAACGATAAATGTTATTGGGAAGGTGGAAGATCCTGAAGTTTGTGGAACCGATTTGAATCCCTTAAAGAGTAAGCTTATGGTTGAAGCTCCGGTTATGAAATGGGGTTCGTTTTTAGACAACTGGGGTTCAAATCGTGATTTTATGGCTAACCAAAGAGGGTTAGAGCTTGATGGTCACTGGGGTAGGGTAGACCATGATGCAACCATTCCGGCTAATAAAATTGCTGAACTAAATGTTCAAGCGGTCGTATATGAGGAAGAGCATAAAGAAATTCAGCAATGTGGTGCACCCTTGAAAAAGGGAGGGTTTTGTCAGAGAAAAGATTTGAAAGTTTGCCCTTTTCACGGCCCCATTGTTGCTCGAGATGATGAAGGAACTCCAAATGATGCGGTTTCCATGGATGATGAAAAACCCGATCTGAAGCTTTTCTCGATGGACGAATTACTGAAACAGGCAGTAAATAATGTCCGAGAGATGGATAAAGAGGCCATGAAAAAAAGAGAATACGATAAAAAGGAATTAAAACGAGCCAAACTTGCAAAAGTCCGTGGGCACAATGAAGCTGTGTTACGAGATGCAGCACTTGCTTCAACTTCAGGGTCTTCTTCCATTGGAGATTTGGAGGGCAGAGAAAAAGATAGTCTTGCAAAGATGCTGAAAAAGAGAACAACTGCAAAAGATAGATTAGCTCGAAGGCTACTAAGTCGGAAAGCTACTGCAAAAGAGCTGAATCTTGGAGAGGATCATTCAAAATACAGAGAAGCCTTCCCTAATCAATGGTAGAGTTTCAATAAACCTTTTCTTGTTCAACTGTTCATCTTTATTCATAAAGATCGATTGAGATATGTTCCATATAAATAAAATAGGTATACATAATAAGATCTGTTTTGACTCTATATAATAAAACATGTTATTAGTGTATTTCTTGTGCCATAACTCAATACCTCATAATTTTTTGCTTTCATTCGACCCTTGCTAGAGTTAACGAAAGCTTTATATATTATTCTTGCATGGGTCGGGTTGCACGGTCTGAATAAACTAACCCTACTACTACTAGTGCCGTTTGGAAAACCTCAACCCGTTAGAAAAAATAAAATATAACATGGGTCGAGTTGGTCGGGTTGTTTTGAGATCCGTTCTTGGAACACGTGTAAAAACTGACAGATGATTTTTCCACTTATTTTGATAGGATATGACATGTACCAACATACGTACATGACCCTATTTGACCGATTGCTTCAAGAGCACATTCACACTCACATTCACATTCACATTCACATTCACACTCGTCACTATCTAGCAATGAAAGCCTTTCATCAATGGCTGAAATCACAGCTTTAATACCTGGACAATGGGAAGAGTCGAATAGCTTGCAGAGGCTTATAACATATAAGAGGGGTATCAGGTTCTTCTGACCTAATTCCAACCCAATACTTACGGTTTAAAGATTTGAACTCGATTAGGCATCAGGTGATGGCTTCAGGTTGGTTTGGGTTAGCCGGGTTGACTAGGTTTTTGTGCACCCTAATTCTTCGTATAGAAATTCCTGGCACACTCACAAAAATTGTGTTAGTTCTTCTTCAGCAAGGAACATACATTTTTGGATGCTAGAACCTATAGCTCCCAACCCATAATTTGGTGCAGAAATGTTATTATATATGGTCGCACCTAACAAAACAATACGGTAGCACATGAGAATCGCACCATATTCTTGGTTATCTCTGTTGCCACAAAAAAAGGCAGCTGGTGCTTCAATCTCAATTTATTCTGTAGACGTTAATTGGAAGTTATTGTATCAGAGTTATAGAGCCAGGATGTCGATGCGTTCCCGATGTTGAAGGCTGGTTCCGGTTCCCTAAACATGTTGTCATGGGTCTTGTTTGTAATGTGGTCAGGTTTCTTGGTTCAAATGCTAAATGTGGTTCATTCTTATGCTGCTATTTGTATCGTGAAGCGTTTGCTTGTGAAGGACAATGGGATGCAAGCATCATTTGGTCCTGTTTCGCCAACGAAACAAAATGATTAAATACCATTTTTATTACCTAATTATTTGTTTTTCATATTTAATGACTAATAAATTTAGTACATTCTTTTTGTTCTATTTTGCTATCGATTATTGTTCAAAAAAAATGTTCAGAGTTTTAATCGCTTAAAACATTTGTATCAGTCGGTTTTTCAAGTTGTAGTAAATTTAAAATTTTATTTGTTCTAAGGGGTTGTTTGTTTCCCTCTTAATAGTTCCATTAATAGGCAGTCTTTGAATCGTTAAAAGTTGAATCTTGTTTGGCAAAATAATCTCTCTTAATGGTTCTAAAACTTCTTAATGGTATTGTATCATGCGATTATCTTAACCATTCAGTGCCCTAATTTCATTGTAAACAATTATATTTTATTTTGTATTATATCATAAGAGTATTTTAATCATTCTGCACTAATCTATTCCGCAATTACCAAACCATCCCTAACAGAGCTAAAGGCACTTTATTACTCTAAACATGCAAGTAGGTTAGTTTTTTTGGATTTTCCAGTGATAAAAAACTAATCTAAATTATATTTTTAAATGAAATATTTTTAACAAAGGTAAAATATTTTAATGATTATTTTATTAAAAAATATATACAATATTGTATCAAATTCCTTTATTTTATTAATAATTTTAATAGTTATGATATGTTTAAATAAAAACGTATTATATTAATTTTAGTTAATAAGTTAATATTTTGGTAGTAAATTATAATAAAGTATATTTACTCATGATTTTATAAGTTATCATGATTTAAATGTAATTTTATACGGGCATGAGAAATTGTATATATAGGATAATCACAAAGTAATTGATAATCATATTGTAAATTGCAATTGCAATTGCATTAATAAAACTAGATGAATACTCGTGTAATAGAACAAGATACATCTTGAATTTCAATATTTCATTTTATTTTTTGTCTATATCAATATAATAAGGTTTTATGTGGTTTGGGAAAGCGACAATATTTTTATTTTGAATAAAATATAAATTTGAAGATATCATTTGAAAAAAAAAATATCGACATCAGTACCAAATTAACTATTTAAAAGTCTCGTTTTTCGTGTAATTTCTTTAATTCAGTTTTTATTGTAATTTAATTTAGGTTTAATAACAAAGTAATTTATTTTTTTGATTTAATAATATAATTTTTTATAAAGATAATAATTAAGTATTTTGTTAGAACTCAATAATTATCCTAATTATATTTTAATTTTTTTGTATTTAAAAATGAAATATTTATCATGTATTTGATTATGTTTATCTACAGTTGGTTATACGAATTTGAACATAGAGCTTTAATAAGTTGTACCTACGCACAAATTTATTTATAATCTTAAATTTTAAGTAACATGCATCAATAAACATTATTTCATGCATAAAAAAAATAGTTTTTAAGAATTCTTGTCAAATACTTTATAATAAATATAGTATAGATACTCTAATTTTTGTTAATGCTGGATCTCGTTTCCTAGTATAATTGAATATTTAATTTATTTTTTTGACCAGATTGAATAATTAAATAAATAGAAAAATAGAAAAATAACATACATTGTTCCTTCAACGAGAGTCGTTTAAAAGTATGTGTGTCTTGAGAGTCGGAGGTTGACATGATTGGTAAGATTGTAGAATGATAAAATCCGTTTAGCTTAGCTGTATCATTCGAATTCTCGTTAGATAGAAGACATGTCTGCATTAATCATACAACACGACAGAAACAAACGTGTTCCATTCACATGAAACCCCCTTAGTAATTTTAGTATTATAACAAATAAAGCTTGAATCCAAGACCAATCATCTTCTTCACTTGATGATCACTTCCCCTTATCATCATCTTCTTCACTATCTTGCAAAATTCCCTGCATTACATACAAAATTGAATTCACAAAAAACAAATTATAATGATAGAGAGAGGGGGTTTCATGGGATAATTGAAAAAAAAAATGAAAAAACTGAGCAACACCATAATAATCATTCATTTATATGATATGCATATGTGGATATAAAACAGATGATATAATTATTAAGGTGTTTCTCAAATTTTTAGCATTTTTTTTTCTGAACCTGACACTATCCCTGTATATATAGTCCGAACACGAACAACGTATTTAACTACTTACCGCCATGGTTTGTCACCCAAAAGCATTAAATCACCCTCACCATCTTCATATACAACTTCCCATTTCTCGCCGCCATGATGAAGCTCGCTTTCGATCTTGAAAATCTTCTCTAACTCGTTTTTAAGCGCTTCATATCCTCCCAACGAGCGCACGTCTATCGTTTGAACCAACACGTTCCCTTCCATTTGCAAAATTACACGATCGCTAGAATTCGGGAAGACCAACTCTATATTTACGCCAAACAATCTTAACACTTGTGGATTCTCGCATTCTTTTCCTTTATCAATTAAGTCAGTTGATGACGAAAGGATGGCATGAAAATGCAACGGGTTCACCGAGTCACCCAAATTGGCGTTAGCACGATGATTCATTAGACCATGATCACATGTTCGCAACCTCTTGTGCCTTGACGACAGTGATCCTGTGTCCAGTTCGCTAACATCCGATCTGCCATCTTGAATAGGCTCAAGTTGCCATCGAGACATCCTATTGGACAACTGAATCATGGTTCTTTCAGAAGGCCCATGCCATTGAACCTTTCAAGTAGTTATATATATATAAAGTTAGATATATATATATATATATATATATATAATATATATATATAAAGTTAGTTATAAAATAGATAGATGCATATAATTATAAGTTCACAAGAAACCTTTATCGAGCGCCAAGTAGAACCTGGCCAATCTTCAGAAATGTCGGTTTCTTCAACGATAACGCCTGTGTATCTGATGAAATAAAACACAAACATGTGAATACGGGTAACGGAAACAATTAAGAACAACGGCTTCTTGGAGGAAAGTGAACGAAAAAAATTGCCTTATTTCTATTTGGGAATCTTCTTCCCCGTTGAATCGCATCATCGTGTTCATGCCCGGCATGAAATTAATTGCGTTGGCTTGTACATATTTGTTTAGTCGTATAATGAACGGCCAAGCCCTGAAAAATTCCCACAAATCCCATTAAATTTCTTGAAGAAGATACGTTAAAGCGTTCAGATAGATTTTGATATTGTCTATATGCTAATGCTAACAGGTAAAGAAGTGGACATTTTTACAGAATGAATGGAAGGTTTGGGCTTTAACTCCAAACACGTTTGCCTACCCTTCATGATTAATTTACCTCCTCCATGATGATCGTTAAAGTTACATTGGAGGTGCTTCTGAGCATGATGACACACCTTTTTTACAAAATGATTTGAATATGATTTATGGAATTTAAAAGTGAGGTTTTAATTTACGAAACAAAAAAAAGTGTACCTCGGGTTGTAGTAGATCACAAACTCCTTATTTGTATAAAGAGCGTGCGAAACGCTAGCAAGGACCCCCTGGTGCATGCTTTCCCTTGATAGGATCGAAGAACTCGAGGGAATTTGTTGCCGATATCGTCTAATCCCGATACCCAACTCGTTATTCGAATGTCTACAATTTGTCAATTGTATATAAAGGTGAACTCTGAGTTACATAAAATACCATCTTTGATACAATGAAAATGTTTGGAATCATAAATTTATGCTATGTGGATTAAGTTTATATACAAAACAATTATCATACTGTATTTTTGTATTCGATACTGATTTTAGGTAACGTTTATGAAGAAATAGGTTCATTATTTGCATTCGGTTTTCATCAAATTAAAATGAAGCCGAGTACCTCACAAAAATTAAAGCATCTCCCGCTACTAGTCTCTTTGAAACCACGAATGCGTTCCAACCACCGGTGATAACATGCCTTTGGGTGCTTACTGATAATTACGTGTTTGCATTGTTAGAAATTTCATAATTATGAAAGATAAAAGAAAGACGAAAATACCCAAATGTCAAGAAGTTTGTTTTGGTTCATATTCAGTGTAACAATGTTTTTTTTTTTTTTGAAAAAAATGTAACAAATGCTCTATTTTAACCGGCAACCGATAGATTTTGTAACTACATTGATGTTTAAACACAAAATTGTCAAGTTATATTATAATTATTAATTACGTCGAAAAACACCGTATCAAAATCAAATAAGGTCCCATAAAATGAAATTTTATTTGCCAGGTAAAATATGTAAAATATATAGCAAGGATCAAACGCTTGTCATATTAACAAAAGAAAAATCATCGTTACATTAAATATGAATAAAGAAAATTTTTGTTTATTTTATATTATATATATATATATATATATGTGGGAACGTTCAAATAAAAACCACTCAATTTGTAAAAACCGTGAAAACCTCATTCAACCAATCATAATTTTTCATTTTGTTCATTTTTTTTGTAATTATGAGAGGTTGATTAACCATTTTTCTTGTGGAGGGCGTTAATCATGAATATTATCATCTTCATTATTTTAATTTTAGATAAATACATGAAACAGTTTCATTAAAATTTCATTAATTATTATATGAAACAATTTCAAAACCATATATGAAATAAATTCATCAAAAAAAGTATTATATGAAACAATTTCACAAGATTAAACAATTTCATAAAAAAATTTCATAAGATTAAACAATGAAATCGACGTATGAGGGTGGTTTATACGGTTTTTACAAATGAGATTGGTTTTCATTTGATCGCTCATATATATATATATATATATATAGAGAGAGAGAGAGAGAGAGAGAGAGAGAGAGAGAGAGTTGGGATCACGTTAGACTAGTCTGTTTTCGTGAGACCTGTGAAATCACTTTTTTACACTTGAAACTTCACAGTAAAATGCAGTGAAGGTAAGAAAATCCCGAACCAACAAAAACACTGTGAAGGTCACCTTCACAGCATTTTGCTGTGACTGTGAAGGTCATCTTCACAGCATTTTGCTGTGAAGTTTCAAGTAAAAAAAAGTGGTCTCACGGATCACACAAAAACAAGCTGGTCTTACGTGATCCCAAGTCTCTCTCTCTCTCTCTCTCTCTCTCTCTATATATATATATATATATATATATTGAAAGATACATATACCTCTATAAACATGTGTAAAATGCCATGCGTGTCCATGGAGGTCCTTTGCAATCAACTCTTGGTTTGGTTGCGGTTGTGACAAGTCCTAAAACAAAATATTAAAATGAATTAACATTTGTTTTTTTATTTTCTACAAATAAAACATTCATTTTTTAAAGAAAAATAAATCCCATAATTATTGCTTTTACATTGTTTTTACCAAAAATGGTATATTACCAATGAAGGAAAACAATTTTGTGCAAGCATTTTGGGCACTGATAATCCAGTGTGCATATTGGTGTCCGAGATGGTTAGGATCTTAGAAAAAGCGCGAAAAGATGGCTTTGCCTCTTGTAATAGTTGATGGTTGTCGTCAGCGCCCTCAAATACCTAACATTTATCATAGTAAACTTTAATAGTGGATCAGACATTAGAAAACACCTATACTTAACATGTAATTCTTTTCTTATAAAATGAAAACTTTAGATACATGTGCGTACGTAGCTTGTATGTATGTGTATACATGAGTCGGTTCGTATAAGAAGACTAAATTTCGTGAAAATGTAAGAAATGAAAGTTAAGATAACGTTCATATGTGAATCATTGAAAAAATCACTATTTTTTTCAATGATTCATTGACAAATCCTCTACTAAACCATTTCTTACCTTATCATGACATTTGGCAATTACTTTTCACTATATACATACACACACACACACACACACACACACACACACTTGAGATTATATAAGACCAACATATTTTTGTGAGACTCGTGAGACAAAAAAAATAATATTAAACCTTCAACACAAAAACAATGTGAAGGTTCAAAGCTATTTTGTGGTTTCACGGGTTTCATGAAAACAAGTTAGTCTTATGAGAACCGAACAATATAATATATATATATGTGTGTGTGTGTGTGTGTGTGTATGTATACATACACATACACATACACATACACAGGAGCTGGGTTTTTTAGGAATCTTAAATATTTTAGGAACTCATAATTATGAGTATTCAAGATAAATATTATTCATCATACACACGTTTTTCATCATGAATAATTACAGAAAAAGAGGTTGTTGCATCCCTAAAATATTTGAGTTTCTTAAATGGACATCTCTATATCCATAATACACATTAAAAACAGATTGACGAGTATATAATCAAAACTCATAAAAAACTTAAACATACCATTTCTTGAAATGGATGTAATTTGATGATGGCAAAGACTTCATCAGAATCTGAATCAACCTAAACAGAAAAAACACAATATATACAAAATAAAATAAATTACTTATCAAATTATAATCAAAATGTTATTTAATAAAATTAGTTAATTACTGAATTATATTTATTTTTATTAAATAAAATATACCTTTAAACTAGAATCGACGACTTGACAAAGCATCTTGTGTGGCAGGTCGAGTTCTGAGATCTGCTGACCAGTGAGTTTATGACTTACTGAATCCTCTAGCTGCAACTGTTCAAATTAATCATTGTTATATAATAATTTCTTCAAAATTACAAATAAACTACTGTATTTGGGTTTTTCCCACCGAAAACTAGCTATCAACTTTATGTGAATATATAAAAGAAACACTAAGAGAAAACTAGCTATCAACTTGTTCTATGTGGCCTTGCGGAAAGTAAAAAACTCTCTGTCCCTGAACAGGGATATCAACCAAAGGGCCTGCACAAGCCATCCATAGCTCCTTGTATAGTTCGTTGTTGATTCCTTCAAAAATCAAGAGCACACAATGTAATCCATATGAAAAGATGGATTTAGAGGCATACAGATTAAAAAAATATGAATTTAGACAGAAGAAAGCGCAAATAAGACTGGTTTTTCTTCACGAAAAAACTTCTTGAATTTTAATCGCTTACCATTGTGAGAAGAAAAAGAAGCCATGGAGAATAGAGAAAAATCGAGACTCGGATTGTATTTGTGTGTGTATAGAAAGATAAGGGTGTGTCTGAATGAGGAAATACGAAGAGATAGTTGTATTTATAATGAAAAATCTAACAAACCCCCTAGAAGAATCGATTTTCGCATTTATTCGTGAATTTATTACAAATATTCGAATCTTACCTTTTTTTAAATGTTCAAAAAAAATGTCAACAAACAAAAATGAAAATTTGTTAACAAACAAAAATAATAAATTGAATCCGAAAGGTAGCTCAACTGCTAAGGTCTTGAGTTTATTTCTCAAAGGTTATCAGTTCAAGTCCGCTCAAGAATATTGGAGAGTCTGAATGACTGTTAACTTCATGGCTCATTGGCTTAGTTCAGTGCATGCCCCATTTCCGCACATCCAATACTATCAAAAATGAATAAATTGCATTAAAATGAAACGTACTTAGGTCCGGTTCCTGTTTTGAGAAACCTGATTTCAAAACTTTTTCTAACACATCAAACATTTAATTGTTTATGGTTAAATCTATCAGGCCACCGGTAGAATCCATTTTCTCATTTATTCGCAAATTTATTAAATATATTCAACTTTTGTACCTTTTTTAATGCTAAAAAAATGTTAACAAACAAAAGTGATGAATTGAACCCTCAAGGGTAGCTCAATTGTGAAGATATTGGGTTTACTTCTTGAAGGTTATCAGTTCAAGTCCTTTCAATAGTATCGAAGAGTTTGTCTGACTGTAACTTTAGGGCTCACCGGATTAGTTGAGATGCAGGCCCAATCTGACCCGAACATCCGATACCATCAAGAAATGACACATAAAAAGAAAACGTACTTTGTTTCGGTTCACATGTTGATAAACCTACTTCTAGAACTTTTTTGTGCATCAAATATGACATCTCAGATACTTAAATGTTTATAAAGTTATCGATCAAGACCACCAGAAGAACCCATTTTCTCATTTTATTCGTGAATTGTTACAAATGTTCAACTTTTATTATTTGTTCTAAATGCTAAAAAAATGTTAACAAACAAAAGTGACAAATTGAACCCTGAGGAATACCTCAACTGTTAAGATCTTGGTTCTTAAAAATTACTGACTCTAAGTCTTTCAAGAGTACTTGATAGTCTGTATGGTTGTTAACTTCAGGGTCTATTGGATTAGTTAAGGTGCATATCCAATCTCACCCCGGACATCCAATACTACCAAAGTGACAAATTGCATATCAATGAAACATACTTTATTTTGGTTCCTATTTTGAAAAACCTACTTTCTAAACCTTTTTTTGTTTGCCTAAAACGTGACATTTCAAGCATTTAAATATCAATAGTGAAATCTAACGAAGCCACTAGAAATATCCATTTTCTCATATATTCACGAATTTATCACATACATTCAACTGTTAACAAACAAAAGTGACAAAACCCTGAGGGATAGCTCAACTGCTAATATCTTGGATTAACCCCTCAAATGTTATTGGGTCAAGTCTGCAAGAGTTAGGATTTTCCTGATTATTAACTTAATGATCCATTGAGTTAGGTAAGACTCGTCATTTTGACCCGAACATACAATATTATCAAAAAGTGGCAAATTGCGTTAAAAAGTACTTTGTACCTGTTTTTATTCTACAAAAAGCTGCTTGCAAAATCGTTTTTTGGTGCCTAAAGTATAACATCTCAAACATTTTACGTGTTTATATGGATCATTATTTATAGGATTACACACAAATTTCCTGTAAAAACTTAGGTTTGGTTGTAGTTAAAAAAATCCGGTCAGATCAGTTTGGATTTGACAAGATAAAAATTAAACCTGGACGAGCAATTTGGTCTAGTTCAAGACAACGAAATTTTTTTGGAGTTCATTCGGTTATCCAAAAATTATTTAAAAAGGGAAAAGAAGATTAAAAAAACGGGCGAGGTTACAATCAATTGTGTATTGTAAAATAACTAGTTGTATGTATGCACGTGACAACGGGATCCAATATTTTATTGTAATCCACGATGGAAAATCAATGCAATTTTTTATTAAAAAAATATAAATTTATGTTTGAATAAAATATAGATTACAAATGGTGTGAACTTGTTGATTTGAAAACCCTGTAAAAACTCGGAAAACACAAATCATTATTGTGTCAAATTAAGTCTAAAAATTCTTATTTTTGGTATAATTTGTTTAATTCAAAATTTTAGACTAAAAAAATAGAGATGTAATTTATTTTAATTTAATAATGAAATGTACTTTTTATAAAAGATAATGATGCAGTATTATGTTAAAACTCAATGACTGTCCTACATATGTATATTAGTGGTTATCAAATTGTTTTAGATGTTCAAAAAATTGTAAGAACAATATATATGTACAATAAATACGTAAATGTTTTATAATATAGTATAGAAAACGCTATAAATATAAAGATATTCATTGATAAATAAACATATTATGATTAGGGCTGTAAATGAACCGAACGTTCAGCGAACTGTTCGTGAACCGTTCGGCGGGAAGTTCGTTTATGTTCGTTTATTTAATAAATGAACGAACATGAACAAATTTTTTTGTTCGTTTAATTAAACGAACGAACATGAACAAGAGCCTCGTTCGTTCATTTATGTTCGTGAACGTTCGTTTATTTATCGTTCGTTTACGTTCGTTTATCTTCGTTCGTTTATGTTCGTTTATATATTAAATTTAATATATATTCTTTTGTTTATTTACTTTGAATTCAAATAATATTTATTTATGTTCGTTTAACTCGTTCGTTTATGTTTGTTTAGCTCGTTCGTTTATGTTCGTTCGTTTACGTTCGTTTAGYATGTTAAYGAACGAACATAAACGAACACGAACACACCTGATTTCTAAACGAACGAACACGAACACAAATATTTTCGTTCGTTTACCGTTCGTGTTCGTTCGTTTGTTCGGTTAAGTTAAACGAACGAACACGAACACAAATATTTTCGTTCGTTTACCGTTCGTGTTCGTTCGTTTGTTCGGTTAAGTTAAACGAACGAACATGAACAAGCCTCCGTTCGTGTTCGTTCGGCTCGTTTACAGCCCTAATTATGATAGCTTGATAAAAATTGAAGAAATATACTGATATGGTATCAGTGTCAAATTAAAAATAAATAAAATACTTAATTTTGATTTAATATTATTTAAATAAAATATTATTCGTGTCTAAAATTTTTTAGATTATAAAATAAAATGGTCACATAATTAAAAAAAATACAATGAATTGTATATTTGGTATTTGATGGTGTTCATAAGTTAACATATAAATTAAAAAAAATAAGTTTTAATAACCTATACCAATTTAATATTAATATGTATTCTCGAAGTTTTAAATAATATATATACAATAATTTTATAAATATTTATATGCACACATTATCATAATAATGGTGCATTTATTCAGGTAATAAATTAAAAAAATAAAATATTTATTTTTCAATATAAATTTGTTTAATTATATTTTACATTTAAAAGTAATATATTTTAGGGGTTGTTTAGCAGTTGTTAAATTGTTTGATACAAAATGATTAAGTGGTCAGAATAATTAAGATGCTCTCATGATATAGTACAAAATAAAGTATAATTGTTTACAATGAAATTAGAACGTTGAATGGTTAAGAGAGACCCATGATACAAAATCATTCAAAAAATTTTAGAACTATTAATAGACAATTTTTTTTTGTCAAACAAGATTCATCTCTTACTGATTCAAGGGCTGCATATTAATGAAACTATTAAAAGGTAAACAAACAACTTTTTAGCCAAACAAATTAAATTGTGGTGTTTATTTCTGTTTGTTGGTTTTTAGAATTAGAAAATGAAGTTTTAAGGAGTTATATATGTATATATATAGAGATATATAAATAGACAGATAGAGAGAAAGAGAAGCGATCAAATACAAACCATTTATATTTGTATAACCCGTGCAAATCACCATCATCCGTCGATTTCATTGTTTAATCTTATAAAACTTTTTCATGAAATTGTTTAATCTTATAAAATTGTTTCATATAATTTTTTTTTGATGAAATTGTTTCATATATGGTTATGAAATTTTAATGAAACTGTTTCATGTATTTCTCTAAAATTAATATAATGAAGATGATAATATCTATGATTAACACCCTTCACAATAAAAATGATTAATCAACCTCTCATTATTACAAAAAAATGAACCAAATGAAAAATTATAATTGGTTGAATGAGTTTTGTATAAATAATGTAGTTTGCAAAGTAAATCTTCTCTATATATATATAAATACAACCTATCGCATTTGTACAACCAATGCAACCCAATAAATTGAAATATTTATGGAAATGATTAGAGTTCATTTATTATGATTTAAATATTTATGGAAGATGAATACGGTTCATTAATTATGATTAATACTTTATATTAGGAAATAATCAAAACCTCTATAAAATCATATATTAATCAAATGAAATGGACGGTTGAGATTAAGTTGTATTGGTTGCACAAATGACAAGGGTTGTATAATAACCAACCTCTCTCTCTCTCTCTCTCTCTCTATATATATATATATATATATATATATTATTAATATATATTTTTTAGTTTTAATTAATATGCATTGATCAGCTATGTTGTATACATGATTGGTTTTTTTAATTTTTATCTAAAACTTTGTAATATTACATTTTCTAATTAAAATATCAATGTGAGTTTCAAATTAATAAAAGGTCTATATTTAATATTATATTTTAAATTAAAATGATAATTATATTTCAAAAACAGAAAAAAATAAGTGTTTATTATTTATTTGGTTATGTTTTCCTAGTTAATTGTAATATTGAGATTTAATAAATTGTATTCATAATTACATACACCATTAACAATTTTTTTTAATTATATAAATTTGAAGTAATATGGATTGCACAATGTACTCGACACATAATAGCCGTAGAGAATGAATATTCATTGATAGATATACATTTTACAACATAAAATAAAGGAGAAAAGCTGGAAACAAAATATCGATATGGTATCAAATTAGAAAATATATAATACTTATTTTTTTAATGATTTGTTTAATAGAATATTTATAAGTGAAACTCGTGCTTATACACTCCTGACTTATAATCTTGAATTTTAATTAATAACATGTATTGATCAACAATATTTGTTGCTCATTGTCCCGGAGCCCATCATTACGAATTTCATCAAAACGCTAAACCATACATGGAGTGGAATCCAGAACCCCATCCCAATGTTTATCGACACACTCTCGCCTGAACCAGAACCCCATCGTCGTGCTAAGAAAAGCCTTTCTAACGTTGCTGCTTCTCCTAACTACGACCTTGCCATTCTCTGTCTCGTCGCTAAACCCTCAGCTGACAGATGTGTCAGTCAATTCGCTGATATTAACTTCAAGAACCATCTTAAATCCCTATGGAGGCTGTCGTCAAATGCTCTTCCTGAAGTCGAAAAAGATCCCATTAAAACCCAAATAACCCCTCTAATGCTCTCCCCTACCCTCTTAATCCAGGATCAACTGTAATTCCGATTGGGAACCTTAATTTTCGTAGGCGTTGCTTCTTGAGCTTACGTCCATATCATTCTCTTTCTTTTATTTGTACATATTTATCAGTCCATAAAAAATGTGCAAACAAAGAACAACATATATTTTGAAAGTTTCTTTTACATAAATAAATGGGCTTAAGATAAAATATACATACAACTGGAACAGGTGTAAACTGTAATGGGCTTTTAGCCCATATTCCTTCATCCCTCCTTTTTCCTTTCGTCATTTCAAATTCTGAGTCACACGCTCCCACCTTCTCTCCGTTACTCCTCTTCCTCCTCCTCCTCCTCGCCGTCGGCCGTGCTCGGAATCCATCGATCCTTCCAACTCAGGTACGTTTATCCTTCCTGTCTTTTACTTACAACCTCCATAGATTTCGATTCTGATTTTCAATCTCTTAAATCTCATCAAAACCCTAGACTAGACATGGAGTGGAATCCACAAACCCTACAGTTTCTATCGCAATGTTTCCTCGACACACTCTCGCCTCAACCAGAACCCCGCCGCCGTGCCGAGAAAAACCTCTCCGACGCCGCCGATTCTCCTAACTACGGCCTTGCCGTTCTCCGTCTCGTCGCTGAACCTTCAGTTGACGAACAGATCCGTCAATGCGCTGCTGTCAACTTCAAAAACCATCTTAAAACTCGGTGGGTGCCTTCGTCGGCTTCCCCTATTCCCGATGCTGAAAAGGAGCAGATTAAAACTCTAATTGTCCCTCTCATGCTCTCCGCCACTCCTAAAATCCAGGCACAGCTTAGTGAAGCCTTAGCTGTGATTGGGAACCATGATTTTCCTAAGCTATGGCCGGCTTTGCTTCCTGAGCTTAGGTCTAGCCTTGAAACGGCTATCAATGCGAATGATTTTGCTTCTGTTAATGGTATCCTTGCTACTGTTAACTCATTGTTTAAGAAATTTCGCTATCAGTTTAAGAGTGATCCTATTCTGCTTGATTTGAAATATTGCTTGGATAACTTTGCTGCTCCCTTGCTGGCTACTGTTGAGAGTATTTCGGTAAAAATAAATGCTGCTGCTGGGAATGCTGCAACGCTACGTCAGCTCATTGAGGCACAGAGGCTTTGTTGTCGGGTATTTTATTCATTGAATTTTTTGGATTTGCCTGAATTTTTCGAGGATACGGCTGATAAATGGATGAATGAGTTTAAGAACTATCTCACTGTGAGGTATCCAGTTGTTGAGGATAGTGGTGCTGATGGTCTCTCACTTGTTGATGAGCTACGAGCAGCTGTTTGCGAGAATATAAGTCATTACATGGAGAAAGAGGAGGAGCTATTTCAAAAGTACTTGAGTGGGTTTGTGGAAGCTGTCTGGAGTCTTCTTGTAGTTGCGTCAGCGTCTCCAAGCCGTGAACGGTTGACTGTGACTGCAATCAAGTTTTTAACCATTGTTAGCACCAGTGTTCACCATGCGTTGTTTGCTGGGGATGACATATTGCAGCAGATTACTCAGAGTATTGTTATTCCGAATGTGATGTTGCGAGATGAGGATGAAGAGCTGTTTGAGATGAATTATGTCGAGTTTATACGGAGAGATATGGAAGGGAGTGATCTTGATACCAGGAGGAGGATTGCTTGTGAACTTCTCAAGGGGATTGCCGGAAATTACAAAGAGAAGATTACGGAAAGGGTTTCATCGCAGATTCACAATTGCTTGGCCCTGTTTGCTGAAAACCCAGCCGCTAACTGGAAATATAAGGATTGTGCCATATACTTGGTTGTTTCCCTTGCCACGAAAAAGGCAGCCGGTGCTTCAATCTCAACTGATCTTGTTGATGTTGAAAGTTTCTTCAGATCAGTTATTGTGCCAGAGTTACAGGGTCAGGATGTCAATGCTTTCCCAATGTTGAAGGCAGGTGCATTGAAGTTTTTCACCATGTTCCGGGTCCTGATTCCTAAACCTGTTTCTATGGCTCTTCTTGGTGATGTGGTCCGGTTTCTTAGTTCAGATGCTAATGTGGTTCATTCTTATGCTGCCAGTTGTATTGAGAAGCTCTTGCTTGTCAAGGACAATGGAGTCCAAGCAAGATATACGTCAATGGATATTGGTCCCATTCTTCCAATGTTGATGACAAACCTTTTTGGTGCCTTGGAGAAGCCCGAGTCGGAGGAGAATCAGTATATTATGAGGTGTATCATGCGGGTTCTTCAGATTGCTGATATATCTCCTGAGGTAGCATCTCCTTGCGTTACTGGGCTGACATCAGTTCTTAACAGGGTTTGTGAGAATCCTAAAAATCCGGTGTTTAACCATTGCCTATTTGAGGCAGTAGCTACCCTTGTTCGTAGAGCATGTGAAAAGAACCCTTCTCTTGTGCCGGCTTTTGAAACTTGCCTTTTGCCCAGCCTTCAGATGATATTGGCTAAAGAAGTAACAGAGTTCTTCCCTTACGCATTCCAGTTGTTGGCTCAACTTGTGGATTTGAACAAACCTCCTGTTCCTGCACACTACATGCAGATATTTGACATCCTATTGAGACCTGATTTGTGGAAAAAGTCTGCAAATGTCCCGGCCCTCGTACGTTTACTTCAGTCATTCCTTCAACAGGCACCAAATGAGCTTAATAGGGAAGGGAGATTAAGCCATGTGCTTGGGATATTCAACAAACTCGTTTCTTCACCGAGCACAGAAGAGCAGGGATTTTATATTCTTAACCCAGTCATTGAGAATCTTGGATATGATGTCTTAGCAGAATACATGAACCACATCTGGGCTTCCCTATTTACCCGGCTCCAAAATAGTAAAACCCCAAGGCTTGTTAGATGCCTCATTATATTTATGTCTCTCTTTCTGGTCAAACATGGCTTACAGACTCTTATGGACTCAATAAATTCTGTTCAGGCGAATTTATTTCATGTAATTTTGGGTCAGTTTTGGATACCGACTCTTAAGACTATAACTGGTTACACAGAGGTTAAGCTGAGTGCAGTTGCATCAACTAAACTACTTTGTGAATCCCCTTCACTGTTGGATCCTGCAGCTGAGGAGCTTTGGGGCAAGTTGCTGGACAGCATTGTCGCTTTGCTTTCACAGCCAGAAGAGGAAAGAGTTGAGGATGAACCAGAAGTTCCGGATTTTGCAGAAGCAACTGGTTATCAAGCCACTTTTGTTCGTCTTCACAATGCTGGTAAGAAAGAGGAGGATCCTTTAAAGGAAATCAAGGATCCGAAACACTTCTCGGTGGCTTTGTTGGCAAATACCTCTTCTCAATTCCGTGGGAGATTCCCGCCAATTATAACTAGATATCTTTCTCCTGCTAATCAAGCTGCACTTCTCCAACTGTGCAATTCGTACAATCTCTCGATAGTATGAAAAAAGAATTGTGTCAAGGTAATATTTTTATCCTGTGCCACACGTTCTGGTATTAGTTCTTTTGTTTGTATTTCATGATCTTGTGTGTTCAGATGGTACTTTCTTTATATTTACAAAAAGGAAAAAAAGAGCATTGAAGATTTTAGCATCTATCGTGCTGTGTCTTTTTTGTTCTCTGATGCCTTTTGGCTAATCTTTTCCTAATTACCTGAATTTCATGATGAGTATAATTTTCAATCTCTCTTCCACTTGTCGAATTTGTTAGTCATGCTGTAATAAGTTCTTGATGCGTTGAACGTCATGGAAATTTGTTTTGTAATTGTAGGTTTGCTTATGTGTTCTGTTACATTTTGTCTAACTTCTCCAAGCTTACCCAGATACTGACGATATAATTTACTATTATCTAGTGTTCAATATGTGTTTACTTGTCAACTTAGCATCATGCTACTTGGAGTAGATAAATGTTATTTATATGTGTTGCTGATTCTATTTGGAGTAGATAAATGTTCATCATCTATTTAGTTGTCCTTTTCAGCTAGCATGTTGTGAAGTATTTATTGGTCAATATCAAAGTGCTGCTAACTTGTGTACTTGCAAGCTGCTATTTACTTCCTATTCTTTGAACTCATTTTTCTCCATTTTGGGAGTCTGGTTTTGTTTTATTTTCACATCATGGAAATGAGAGCCATCAGCTGAACATGAGAAGGAAATAAAATGAATGGAACCTAATAGCCATCCTATTTATTTTTCAAAAGATGAAGTTAACCGTTTTGAGGTATTAGATTAAACTTACAAAGCCAACAACATTTATACTAGTAGATGAAAAGTGACATCTAACTTAGATTAAGACATTTAGTCTTGAAATAAGAGTGGATGGTTATTACTTATTAGCAATCAGCAAATTTTTTACAATCTTCATCAACCACTCTTATCACTACCAAAGATTGAATATAATTATAGCATCGTAAATTACATTGAAGGCGTTGATCTTAGCAAGTTAGTGTATCCTTGGTTGTATTAGAATGAGATCGACAAGGGAGTGAAAAGGCTGGTCTTCTGAACGACACCGAACAAATTGGGGAATGTTTATCACCGCCTCAACTTTCAAAGCTAACAAACTCACCCCAGAAGCAATTACCAGAATAAGTGAATCGCGAAGAACCTTACCAGGGTAAAAAATAGGTTTTAAATCCATTGGAGTTGAAGGTTGACAATCTTCTTGTGTGGGTTAGCTGTGCTTGGTAGGACCTGACTTTCTTGTTTGTCTTTCTTACTGGTATTATCTTCATGTTTAAGTTGCTATGTACATTTTAATTTTATTGGCGTTTCACCAATTATAGATTTTGGCATTTCAGATGTTCTGTTCTCTGATCTCGAGTAAAATGAATAATAAGTTGTATGGAAGTATTTTTTATTTACTTAACAAAGATGATGAATATTTTCCAGGATATCTACAACCCAACTTGTGGTGGTTCACCAGTTGAGTCGAGTCGAGTTGAGTCGGTCGAGCCAGCAAAAGGGTGGCGGGTTCAGTCATGGTGGTTTATTCGGCGGTTGGGATTTCATAGAGTTTTGAAGTTGGGTGCCATGGAAGATTTCCCCAATTCATGAAGATGGTAAATCCACATTTTGGTAAGATGGTGTTTTGTTTTCAAGTGTTGTGTGTGTAGCAAATGTGTGGTGTCTTTTGAATCAAAGTCATTGAGATATAATGGATACTACTTTACTACTAAACTCTTCTTATTTTAAACATTGAATGAGGAGTTGTGAACAAGAGTCCTCTCTATATTTATTTCATGATGTATTATCAAATCATAGTATCTGGTTCAAATAAAAAGGCTAAATATTGTGAGACGGTAGAAAGGGAAGGTTCATATGCATCTTTAAATGGATATTTTCAATTCTTTCATATTTACATTCTCACGATATTTAGTCTTTTTATTTGAAGCTCCCACTGTTATCATATTCATTCGATGCAAATTTGTGGTAAACCTAAAAATTTGTTTTAATTGTTTCTTTTTGTAAAATTTAAAATTATGGGTATGATTGCATTTGATTAAAAATGACGAGTCTCATATGGTTAATGGATTGTAACAGAATTTTTTTAAATGGAGATTTTTTAGACAACACATTTTTTTAAATATTTGGAGAGGTCCATTCAGTCAATTAATATTTTTATACTTTGGCTAATATTTATAATATTTTTTAAAACTCTCGTCTTTGTCTTCTCTTTTATAAGGTAAGATTCTTAGTTCATCCGACAAAGTAATTGAACCGGTGAGTGTTTACCAAAAAAGTGTTTAGTAAAAGTCTCAACATTTGAATGATTTTGTAGATTATGTGATTGTACCTACACTCTCTTTTTATGCTAAATTGTTAAGTCCTTCCGTTTATAGGATGGCTAAGGACAAATTATGAAGCCTGTAAAAAAATATTTAAATTTGCTACATTCTATTTATATCCATTGAGAAGAGAAAATAAGTTATATTCAACTCAAACTTGCAAACAATCACCTCTAACTCTAACTTACAACAATTACTGTCGATCTGCCATTGCACTAATTTGTTCGCAAAGGTCAATTAAGTACCAAGGACACAATTGTGTGCGTTAATTGTAATTTTAACGAGTGACAAATCTATAGAGACTAAAGAGTGAGAGTTGTGAGTCTTAAGCTGTGGACTATTGGTGACGTCTATTATAATTTTAAGTTGATTCAGAAGTTTTTCGGTTAATCTATTGCTTTGAGCGTTGGAGGCGTAACAAATGGTGTCACCTTTTGTACAATTTTGATGGAGTGGAAAACCTAAGTTTTCATTATTATGGTTTCTAATTCATTGCAATTAATAGTATCACAGACTAACTCATACCTTTAAGTATGAGGGACAAACAAAACAATCAATTGTAAACCACAAGGATGAAATGAAAAATAATTTGTAAATTTTAAAGACGAAAACAACAATGAATTGTTAACCATAAGGATGAAAACCGTAATTTAAAAAGTACATAGATGAACATAGCAATTCATAACATACTACATGAACGGAAAAACGTAGTTTACTCTATATTTTGTGCAATGGATATAAAATACAATGAAATTTCCTTAGAACCTAAGATTGTTTCATGCTTACAACATTTTATTAGCGGATAAGTTGCATTAAAATGAAAAGTAGGTTATTCTGGTTTTTATTTTGAAAAACCTACTTTTAAAACCTTCATTTTGATATTTTCGATGACATCTTAAACAAAAAAAATTATTATACTTTTTTTTCAAGAATGTTTTAGTTTTCAAAGTTATAATAAACATAATACAATATGTCCTAATAAAAAATATAGTATGCTCTCTTAATTGAATCCAAGATGTAATATATTTCCCAAAATAAAGCTTTTGAAAGTAAATTTCCAGAGCGGAACAAGGTATGTTCCATTTTGATCCAATTTACCAAAACGGGAAACGGTTATGTTGCGATAAAGAGAAATGAGTGACGGGTGGTCTATCACGTGAAAAAAAGAGGATGTGGGATATGTCTGTTATGAGAAATAATGAGGTATGCGATTCGCATCGTCTTGAGGCATGATAGGGATGATGTTTATTTGTTTCAATAATGCGTCTGACTGCTATTTTGTATGTTTAAGATACGAGAAACACAAGAACAGTCATATGTTCTAATACAAGAGATGAATGGTTTAATTCGAATAAAACTGAACATGACAAGTACATGGCCCATATGCTATGTTTAAGCTATTTTTAATAGCATGCATGTCCGGGCCTCTCAAATGTGAGAGAGGGATTTTTAAATACAACTCTCTAATTAATACAAACCAATCAAATGAAATATTTATAAAAATGATGAAAGTTTATTTATTATGATTTGGATATTTATGAAAGATAATTAGAGTTGATTCATTTGATTAACGTTTTAAATCAGGAAACAATCGAGATATTTATGAAAATCATATATTCGTTAGACTAGCTGAATGGCTGGTATTAATTTTTATGGTTTATATGTATTTAAAACTATATATGTGTGTGCACGCGCATGTTTACTAAATTAAAATGAATTTGAAATTATATATAAATAAATTGTATTTATATTAACTAGAAGGGTACCCGTGCAATGCAACGAGATACATCTCGATTTTAATGTTTCGTTTTATTCTGTCTCCGTCAATGTTATAATACGATTTTATGTGGTACTGAAAAAACGATAATGTTTTTTTTTGAATAAAATATAAATTTAAATGTATCATAAAATTTTGAAATCAAATTACATATTTAAAAATTCATATTTTTTGTGTAATTTCTTTAATTCTATGTTTTATTATAATTTAATTTAGATTTAATAATGAAGTCATTTATTTTTAGTTTAATAATATAATTCTTTTATAAAAATAAAATTTAGTATTTTGAATTAAATGATTATCTTAAATATATTTTAGATTTTTTTATATTTAAAATGAGATATACTTATCCATAATTTGATTACGTTTATCTGTAGTTAGTTACACAAATTCAAATACGAAGCTTTAATAAGTTGTATATAAGAACAATTTACTTGTAATCTAAAATTTTAAGTAATATGCATTAATAAATAATATTTTATGCATAAAAAATGGTTTTTAATAGTTTTTGTCAAATGTTTTATAATATGGTATAGATTTAATGGAAAAAATTATTGACAAAGTTATGTGTTTGTTTATTTTGTCACGTTTAACGATTTTTTTAATTCTTATTTTTGTTATATTTATTTTGATTACAGTGCACTTTAATTATGGTAATCAATAATTTTGTATATTTTTAAAAATTGTAACTTTAATTATCCTTTCATAAATCAGTAAATAAAATGTAGGATCAATTACAAATTTATGGAAAAATCCACGATTAAAAAATAAATTGATTTATAGATTTATAAATAAATAGGAAAGAAAAAACTAAAGTTACACATTAATAAGATGCTATAAGGTTCTAACACTCTATTGTAAACTAGGGATGGGCTTTCTATACTGTTTTCTCGAATCGAACCGATCCTGTACCGAATCGATACCGAATTCTCATATTCGGTTCAAATAATTCGTCAATTTTGGGTTTCGGTATTTGGTATTCAGTATCGTGATTACACCGAAAACCCCTGTACCGAACCGGGTAACTCAAGGGGCGTTTTGGCTATTCCAATTCCATTTTTATAAAACTAAATCATATTTATTTCTAAATAAATCCATATCTTCTCCATTTGAATTCAAAAAAACGCCCCTTGCGGTTTTGTCACACGACCAAAAAGGAAAAGGGAAAAAGAGTGCCTAAGATTGTTGAACTTTGGAGATTGATTTTTGATACATTGAACATTTGCGATTGTTGAACTTTTGAGTTTTGATTCTTGAACTTTTACGAATTGGTTTTGATTGTTTCTTTATTAACTTTAAATTTTCTGTCCTACGTGGTATTCACACCGAATTTCCAATCCCGATACCAAAAACTGAACTGGTACATTCGATTCAGTGTTTTCAGTCCTCATTTTTTGTCCAAAAAAACTTCGGATACGAGTCTGGTACGATCTTATCCATAATGTAAACCTCATAAGCATAAATATGCTTTTTTTCCCATATACACAATAGATTATTTGTCACTTTTAATAATATCATAGTTTTAGATTTGTATGTTATGTGTGTGAATTTACCGCTAAAAGCACAAACTTCGTTATGTTGTATATCAATCAATTATAATCAATATATAAAATTTTATATTATATATTAACCAACTGTACTTGATACTAACTTAACTAGTACCAACTTTTTCCTGTTGGTATATATTCGTACTGGTTTTGTACAAATTTCAAGTTACATATATAAAAACTTGTTAGTTTATTCAAAATTTGAGATTCTAGCCTTCTAGATAAAATATGTGATGTTTAACTGCAATGAATAAATTTTTCAAAAATTCAAATGTTCAAACACAAGAATTAAAGCTAAAATATTTAATATTCAATATAGAAAACATACACAAAAATTAATAAGTGATTAAATAAGTTAGTACACGATTTCCAATGTTGTGCACCAACCAAGTTTGATACAGTACTATCAACAAACTGTAATATATACCAATTTCTTTTTGTTAACCACATGTGTGAAGGACTGTTTGTGCATACTTCAACTTATTCAGGGGTCTGGGAATAGTCAGGAAAATCCCTCAAGTTGAAAAACTTCATGAGAATCAATTGATTAACATTCTCTCATGCATAACTGAATGTGATTTGTCATGAGAAAAAGCTGATGTGGGAATTGTTTATTACGAGAAAAAAGCAAGATTTGAGATTTGTAACGTTTTAAGATCAGAGGAAAGTTAAGTTTTTTTAATATAAAAAAGCGTGTGGGAGGATTACGATCGTTTGTTTCTTATGCGAGAAATAACTGACCGTTCGATTGTTTCAATGTGAAAGATAACTAGATCACATCAAACACATTTTCTAATTTATATCTGTAGCTGTTAACACCATATTCTGCATCATTATGGTATAAGTATGTATTCAACACAATAATTTATCCCCAATACATTACATCATTTTTAGCATCAAACAAATTATTATATGTAGTGAGTCTTTAACATCTTAGGAGGTCATGGTTCAAATCTCAACAAAAATGAGGAGGGCGTGTGAGTTTATTTGTTTTATTTAAAAATATTATATACTTCAAAAAAAATTATATGTATATTTTGTTTAATAAATAATGTTACACCAAATATGATGTTTTACTCTTCATAACACCATTTTGGTACATAATTTGGTGCGTTAATGTTGTGTTAGCGGAACCATACCCGTAACAAAGACTAAACTATAACCTTCCAAATGTTCTATACCAAACAAGGTAGAATGGGTGTTTCAAATTTCACCTTTGACTGACTGAATCACGCAACAATCTTCGTATTGCAACGTCTACAGTATCCTCGTGATGATGTGACATAGACATTTACCACTGTGAGACTTAAAAATAGACATTTAACCTGATTCTATAATAAAAATGGTGCATAAAATAGCGCACTTTTATTTCTCAACCCTTGGTCATTATTTCTATAGTGTAAATAGACCTTCAGATTTCTAATGTTGTCCGATTTTTGTATTACAAATTTATGGTTTTAGTAATTTATAAAAAGTATTATATCAACACTTTTTGTTGATACAACAAAAATTTGTATGAAAAATTGTTGATATAACTTCTTAATAAAAATCAAATTTGGTAAATGTTGATATTATGTCATGTTTTTCTTGTGCTTTCGAATCTGTTTTATAAAAATATGATTACTTTAACAAAAATATTGGTTATATACAAAATTTTAATTTGAGCATTAAATTGATATTAAATTATAAATTTAATATCAATATTTTGACAAGTATTTAAAAGCACAAAGAATAAGGAGTTGTTTGGCAAGTTGCTAAGTTATTGGTACAGAATGATTAAGTGGTTAGAAATATTGAGAGACTTTTATAATATAGCGCAAAATTAGATATAATTGATTGGTAATTGTTTATAATCAAATTAGGGCGCTGAATGGTTAAGGAAGACCCATTATACAAAATCATTCAGAAGGTTTTGAAATTATTAAGAGACAGATTTTTTTTACCAAATAAGATTTATCCCTTAACAATTCAAATATTGTCTCTTAATAAAACTATTAAGAGATAAACAAACCACCTCTAAGCTCATAAAATATTTGAGTCATGCATAATAAAAGTACAAACTTAATATATTATAAATAATACTTGTAAAATAATTAATAATATAACAAAAATAAAAGTATGTAACAGTTAAATACAGTCAGATTTAATAGAACAAATTTGGTTTCAACTTAAATATATATATATATATATATATATAATAATATTTAAATTTTATGTAGTAGCATTTATAATAACAATTATTTTTTTATTAATAAGTTAAATATACATGGAATAAAATAAGATAGTACGGACCAGTAAATATTAATGGAAAAAATATGACTATTTAAATATTATTTTATTAAATTTAAAAAATATTATATTAGTTAAAATAAAATATTTTATTGCATTAATTAATTTTTACTTTAGAATGGCTATTTAAGTTTTAATCCAAAATAATATTTCTAGGTATTAAATAATAATAAATATTATTTAATTGATGCTTTGTTGTTATTTTATTAATTTTTTTTGTTAATGTATAGAATTATTAATTTATAGTAATTTTTATTTAGTATTTCTACATATTTTAAGACATCCACACTTGAAAATGTGTAGACATGATTGGTGATGCGAAAAACTGTTGCGGTAGACATCTTATTAGGTTTATCAAAGAAAAACTGTTGCGGTAGACATCTTGTTAGGTTTTTAATTAATTGTTATAAGTTATTATTCATAAAACTACTCAAATATTTGATATTCTACATTATATATATTTATATATATAAAATAAGCATCAAAATAAAGTACGTTACATTTTAATACAACTTGTTCCTTTTGTTTGTTGAGATTTTTCGAGCATTAAAAAAGGTAAAAGAAAAAGTTAAATATTTGTTACAAGTTCGCAAATAAATGAGAAAATGGATTCCTTGGGGTGGCATCATTGGATTTTCACTATAAATAAAATAGTCTCTACGTGTTTCTTCATTCATACGCACCCTTGTCATTTTACACCCACATACAATTTGAGTCTGTACTTTTCATTACTCGCAATGGGCTCGTCTCACATCGGTATGCAATTAAAACGTCAATGACCATTTTTCTTATATATAATCTCAATCTTTTGTGCATTTTTTCCCATGGATTACTTTGCGTGTTATAATTTTTTGTAGGAAGTAACGATGAAGTGCAGAAGGAGCTATTTATGGCCTGTGCAGGCCCTTTCGTTAATGTTCCTGTTCAAGGAGAGAGGGTTTTCTACTTTCCTCAAGGCCACATAGAACAAGTACACTTTTGCGATGCTAATCGTCTAATCCTTATATATTTAAAGAATTTTTTAGTTATGGTATTTGTTTCTGTTGTTACAAAAAATGATGCTCGTTACAAAATTTATGCTTTCTAGGTTGATAGATTCATAAAAACTATGTCAGATTTGATTTTTTTTTTTTTACAAAAAGTTTATAAATCGTCAAATTTACTTTTAAAATTGCTCACTTGAACGCTCGAGTATAGATTCCTATGCTCATTGGATAGGAACCCGAGTCCTCACGCCCGCTTTTCTCCGCCCGAAACCCAAGAAGTTGGCGGATTTATGTCCCTAGAAGCGAGGAGTATGTCACATGTACAGAAGGAGGCTGGAATCTCTATTTCCAAAAAAAAAAAAAATTAGCAACCGATTAAGCTTGTCAAAAATTAAATTTGAATTAGAAAACGAATGATGACGACCGAAATTTAAAAATTTGGGAAATAGATTTTTGATAATTTTATACATTTTTTTTTTATTAATTACAAAATTTAGGGAATTTTGGGGACAACCATACCAACTCCACCTCTCGTTTATGTCATGTGACATGACGTAATAATTCCTAAAATATTATGTAAATTAGTAATTATAATAATTTTATATAAGATTTAATTTTTAGAACATAGAATTATAGCTGCTAAGGTTTTGTATTATAATAATTTATTTTTGTTTCTAAAGTAAAAAATTGATAATAGAAGTAGATTTGTTAATATATGTATATGGTGATTGATTTGAACAGTTTCAAGAGGAAGATTCAGCAAATCAAAAACTCATTCGACAACAATTCTCAAAACTCGACTTACCAAACAAGATGTTGTGTCGTGTTGTTGATTCTAGTTTAAAGGTATATTTTATTTAGTATATATTAAATTTTAATTTAGTAGTTAATTAATTTTATTTAATAAAAATCAGATTATAATTTAGTAATTAAATAACTTTGTTTTTATATTTTTAATGCGTATGTATTGGCTTTTGACGTAGGTTGACCATGAAACTGATGAGGTCTATGCTATCATCAAACTATGTCCGTCTCAAGAGGTGATAGATCTACATTTTGTTTATGAGTTTTATTTATATGCTAATCAATATGTATTATATATATAGATGAGTTTCCATAAGAAATTGTCATTTTTCGTTAGAAGCGTGAGAAATATGACATTCACATAATATATGTGAAAGTACCTTGAATGCGCGTAGAAGTGACCTCGTTCACATAAATTGACGAGGATACACATTCAGGTCGTGTAACCTTCACAACATGTAACATAACTTTCATACCGTGTAAGGGTACATTCATCGCACTTTTCATACTTCTCATCACAAATATTTTTCTCTAACTGTGTATATATATGTAGGAGAAGGTTAAAATAATAAAGAAAAAAAGGTTTAAAAATATATTCATATGTGAATCACTTGTAAACCTGGGAAAAAAAATCGATTTGAATATTGAACCCACGTTTGCCTACTTAACTTGTTACCAATTATTCACATATGAAGATGTATATGTGAACCCACATTTCTTTTGAAAATGGTTCTTATATTAATCATTTAATCTATTCGTGCAGTTTTAATCATTTTATCTTTCTTATTGGAACCTCCATGTACATAAATATACACACATGTATGTATGTATGTATGTATGTATGTATGTATGTATGTATGTATGTATGTATGTATGTATGTATGTATGTATGTATGTATGTATGTATGTATNTATGTATGTATGTATGTATGTATGTATGTATGTATGTATGTATGTATGTATGTATGTATGTATGTATGTATGTATGTATGTATGTATGTATGTATGTCTCCTTTTCCAATAAAGAATCACATGTTAAATTAGCTAGATAGATGTTTTCCTAGGACTCATATTATTACTATATATCATTATTGTTTATGTCTATTCAGCTACAATTTGAGTAATTTGTGATAAATGGTAGACATTTGAAGCCGGTCACAACAATCATCCACCATCAGAGGAACCAAGGTCGTCTGTTCGTTCGTTTAGCAAGATTCTAACCACATCCGATACCAACAGACACTATGCATTTTATGTGCTCAAGAAGCATGCAGAAAAATGTTTCCCCCCATTGGTAACTTGTTGAAACTTATGGCTTTTAACTTAAAAAACTTTATCTGATTATAATTTTTCTGTTATCACTTTGTAAATTTAGTGGTTTTGGATAAATTATGAGCATAAAAAACCATTAGTAAAAGAACATGGTTTATATTTTGTTGTAGGATTATTCCCAACCACAACCAACCCAAGAGTTGATTGCAAAAGACTTCCATGGACGCGCATGGAGTTTTACGCACGTCTACAGAGGTATATATATCTTTGTGCAAGTGTTGAATGTCTTTTTATTTATTTAAAAAAATACATCAAAATGTAACGAATTATTTTAGTTTTATAAGCGATGGACCTAAATTTTTTAAAGTTTGTGCACATCGTAAATCATTCAATGTATTTTTAGTTGAATTCCATCATTTTTGATAGTTTTTTTTTGTTGATTTCAAGAACTATTCCGTTTTTTGGTTGATTTCTAGAGGCTTTTTTGGAGGATATTTCGGTTTTATTGGTTTATGTCTTCCCTTGTATTTTCTAATATCTTAGAGCACCCCTCATACTTCAGCGTGTGCACCTTTTACACCCAAAAAAAAAATCTATTTACGAAATTTGGTTGAGTGGGTGCACAGGAGGTCGTTGGGGCCTTCCTATGTCCGCCCTTGTAATTCTATTTAGTGTCGCCATAGTTTTCATGTTTTCTTTTTTAATTTATACTCGTTTTCCCTGATAAACTGATTTTTAGCTTATGCGCCATCGATTGATTTTGATGCTTTCGTGTAATCAAGAATTACATTATAATTTGATGTTGACATCTATGCCATCCATAGTTATAAGATTTACTACTTTTCAGCCGAAATGAGTACAAATTGGAATGCGAAGAATTAACATTTGTTCCACTAACTGATGCATCATTATATTGACTAGGAATTAATTGAGACAAACTTCAAATCGTTTTAATGCATTTTGAAATCCTTTTTAAATATCTTATAATTATCAACGTGCGAAAACCGAAGACAATATTTTCATTTCAATTTCATTGATCTATCAGGAAGGCCCCGAAGGCATGTTATCACCCATGGGTGGAAAAAATTTGTTCGTCAAAAGGGACTAGTTGCTGGTGATGCTTTAATTTTTGCGAGGTACGTGGCTTCATTCTAATTTGATGAAACCGAATGAAATTTAGAAATTGTGTCTAAGATCAGTGTTGAAAATGAATTAGTGCATTTTTGATGTGATTGTCTTTTTGATTTTTTAAAGCCAGTGCATACAATTGGCAAAGTTTAGGTAATTGATTAACAACCAAATCGTTGATCGTTTGCAGAGGGCCAAATAATGAATTGCGTATAGGGATTAGACGTCTTGTGCAACGGATTCCTGTGATACTATCCAACGAAAGCCAAATACAAGTCCTTGCTAGCACTTCACAAGCTCTTTACAAGAATAAGGAGTTTGTCGTCTATTATAACCCGAGGTACACTTCTTATGATCAATAAAACCTCGCTTTTTAATTCAACAAACAGGACCTAAAAGATTCTGCATAAAAGTATCACACCACCTTCTGAAGCACCCACAATCAATAGTGGATCGTGGTAATAATGGCTTAGATTCGCAGGTAAATTGTTTGTCCTAAGAGAAGGTAAGCCAAATGCTAGAGGAAGTCTTGCAATAGCCACTTATCTGAATGAAAAATCATGTATCTGAATGTTTTAACATAGTGAGGTGTGAGACTTTTTCAGGGCATTCCCATTTCTTGTGGGACTTCAAAAGTATCTCAAAGCAGATGCGTATAATTTTTCGTCGGGCATGAATGTCATCATGAGATTAAAGGGAGGAAAAAATGCTGAGAATGAGAAAAGGTAACCTTTTATTTATTTTTAACCCAATAAGTTATTATATATGTGTCCATTTGCAACATTCATTGTATGTGTTTGTGTTTTATTTCATCGGAATAGAGGAGTAATTGTGGAACAGACAACTATTTCTGCGGAGTGGCCAACATCTGAATGGCGGTCGATAAAGGTTTCTTGTGAACTTGTATAATTATATGCACCCATCTAGTTTGTCGGTGTATTTATATGTATATAACTTGTTAGGTTCAATGGAATATACCATCGAGAAGATCTTTGATTCAAATGCCAGAGCGGGTGTCTGCCTGGCAACTCGAGCCTGTACTAGAGGATGTTCGCTCACATGTTGGAGAAGCATCGTCATCAAGGAATACAAGGCTTCAGATCTGTGACGATGGTCCAACGTATTGTGCTAACGCCATTTGGAATGAGTCATTGCATTCCATCCCTTCGTCATCAGTTGGCCTATCAGATAAAGGAAAAGAATGCAAGAAGCCAAAAGTGTTGAGATTGTTTGGCGTAGATATATCCGTCACGACCTCATGTTCTACTAGTGAAACAAATTAAGCTACACCAACAAGCGGTAATCTGAGAGGAACCATCCTTGGAGAAACTGGGAACATAGAGGAGAATGGTGTGATTTTGTTGGTTTTAAAAATTTTCAAGTTAGACCTGTTTGTTTTATATTTACTATTATATTATTTAAATCTCCAGAATTTAAAGTTTAAAAGCTTATTTGTATTATGTATGTGCAATATCTGAAAACTCCAACTTTTGAAATCAATAACGGAATCGATAACCAACTCGTAAGCACTTCATACATGATAAATGTTGAGTGTTGATAATACCGTAGAATACTTCATAAAAAAACAATTCAATTTATGTAACCATACATGTTCAAACATAAAATCGGGATTCTCTTTTCTGTAAGAAATTTGCATTGCATTTCCATTCTCGATTTCAATAAAATTTTACATCATGTTGCATTCTACGAATAAACAAATAATACATAAATAATTCTGGTGCTTGTTTCTGGTTCTTGAAGATACCCTCCACAACGGAAGTCATGTTTTTTCTCGAATTCAAGACGTAAAAGATGGGGAGTAAAGATGATTAAAATCGCACAATAATTTGAATATTGTAACGTCGGTTATTCAGTTAAAACATCAAAAATTTGATATCTTTGTCAATGAATTAGTATAGTAGAGTTGATTCATTATACAACTTATCTCATTTGTATAACCATTGTAACCTAATTTCAACCGCCAACTTAATCTACTGAATATGTAGTTTCACAAATATCTTGATTGTTTACTAATATAAAACGTGGATCATAATTGATGAACTTTAATCATCTTTTATAAATATTTAAATAATAATAAACGAATCATTGTCATTTTTATAAATATCTTAATTAAATAGTTTATATTTATTACAAACGAGATAAGTTGCATTTGAAATGTCGTCTTATATAGTAAACATGATTTTTTTTTTATATATATTTAAATTATGAATGTGTTCCAAGTTATAAATTGTAGTTTCTCGATTAATTGACGCAAAAACAATTAATGCTAAATTTGTTACAAAGAAAAAATATTTATTAAAAACAATATTTCTGTATTTAAAAATATTAACTAAAATATTTCAAATATATATATATATGTATTTATTCAACTTTAATTAAAAAAAAAAACAAACTTAATAAAATAAGATATCATCATATAATTGAGTTAAGAAAATCAATAAACATAAAAGTATATATACTAAATGTACATAAACATGAAAATAAAAGTAGACTAATATAAATAAGTACGTTGTTGTTACAAAAAATATACATACATCATGTTTGAAATTAAATTAATATTACATGTACAACGATCCTTGTTTTTTCTTCAATCTCAAACATTTAGCATACGGAAAACAATTCCCGTAATTTCATTTGCATTCACGATCACATGTATTGTATAAAATTTAACCATCTCCAAACTTTAAGTTTTAAATACAGACAATTGATTGAAAACATTGATAGCTTCAATATTTATTATTATAAGGATTATATTTATTAGAAATACAAATTTATTATAATTAGTATTTTTATTTAGAATATAATAATAATAATAATAATAATAATAATAATAATAATAATAAACCAGTAAATATTAAATCATTCTGTGCATTTTTTTAAATTATTTATTTATTAATCAAATCTTCTTGGATGTCTTTTCAAGTTATTTACCCAAAATCTATATAATTAATGTATTGTTTTATAGTATGAAATATAAATTTTATTATATTTTTTAATCATGAAATAAGCATATGTAAAATAATATTTTAAAATTAGTTTTCACATATTTATAATGTTCTCTTAAATAATTTGCATTTTATATAGGCTTGGGATCAGGTAAGAACTTGAAATTCATAGAAACCGTAAGAACCACTCAAAACTGAAGTGCACATCTTGATCTGACACCATGGACACAGTGACATTTTGGTAATTGAAGGGAACTTCGATGGCAAAGTTGCTGGCAAACACAGAGGTTGACATAGCTTAACCTCCGTCGAACAATTTAACACACCTTAAACTGACCATGTTAACTTAAGGTAACATGAAAATATTCAACTTTAGTATACATAACATACCTTAACAACCCTGATGAACATTCATGAAATTTGTACCTATTGTTTGTTAAGATTTTTCAAGCATTAAAAATGGCAATAAAATATGAATATATGTAATAAATTCGTGAATAAATAAGAAAATGGATTCTCCTAGTGGTTTTGTTAGATTTTCACCATAAATATCTAAATACTTGAGATGTCACATTTTAGATAAAAAAAAAGTTTTAAAAATATGTTTTTCAAATCAAAAACCAAAACGAAGTATGTTTCATTTTAGTGAAATTTATCCCTCTTCAAAGGTATTGGATGTTTCAAATTGTGTATCAAATGGCATTTGCCCTAGCGGTATATGAGTACTTGGCTTCCTAGGAGGTCGGGGGTTCAAACCTCACCAAATGTGAGGATGATGTATGAGTTTATTGTTCTATTTGTCGTATATAATTATTATATACTTCAAAAAACCAGTAGGCCATGAAGTCAACAGTTAGATGAATCCTCCGACACTCTTAAGCGAACTTGAACTTGTAACATACCTTCAAGGAGTAAATCCTAGATGTAGCTGAGTTCAAGTTGTCCTTTTTGCTTGTTAAAATTTTTCAAACATTAAAAAAATTAATAATATGTAATATATTCACAAGTAAATGAGAAAATGGATTTTTATTGTGGTCTTATTATATTTACACTATAAATATTTAAAATGTGACATTCAATATACTAAAATTTGAAAAAAGTCCACCAAGGTTTTTGCATTCATCCCTTTTGTATGTTGAGATTTTTTAAGCATTGAAAAAGGAAAATAAAATCTAAATATTTATAATAAATTTGCGAATAAATGAGAAAATGGATTCTTGTGGTGGTTTTGTTAAATTTTTAACCATAACTATTTGAATGTTTGAATGTTACATTTTAGGCATCAAAAAATATTTTGAAAGTAGGTTTTCTTAGAACAAAAACCAGAAAACAATATTTTTTTAATATAATTTCTCCCTTTTTGATAGTATTGTATATCTGGTTTAGATTGAGCGTGCACCTCAACTAATCCAATAGACCATGAATTTAACAATCAGGCAAATCATGAACTTGACTAGTAACATTTTCTCAAGATATTAGCGTTTTGAGCTACCCCTCATAGTTTAATTAGTCACTTTAGCTTGTTAACCTCTTTTTTAGCATTAAAAATGGTAATAAATTCGCGAATAAACGAGAAAATGGATTGTTCTGGTGGCCTTGTTAGATTCCACCACAAATATTTAAATGTTTGAGATGACACGTTTTAGGCACAATTTTTTTTGAAAATAGGAACCGGAAAAAAGTACGTTTCATTTTAATGCAATTTGTTTCTTTTTGATAGTATTGGATGTCCGGGCGAGATTAGGCATGCACCTCAACTAATCCAATGGGTCCTAACACTGTGTTCTCAAAACTTTTTTGACGAACGAAAATGAAAGGAAAGTAAAAAAAACCCTGTGTTCTCGAAACTTTTTTTAGGTGAGAAAGGAAATTAAGGAAATGAAAAGAAAATAATCATAAATTTCCTCTAAAAACTTTTCTTCCGGTGGGTGGAAAGGAAAGGAAAGAAATTAAAATCATTTAAAAAGATTATTTAAATTAAAAAACTATCCAACCTTTCATTATAAAAAAATATATTTTAAATGGTATATTTGTAAAAAAAATGTTTTTCCTTTTTTTTCTCTCTATCATGTTTAAGAGCATGAAAATTTATTTATTTCTTTTCCTTTCCTTTTTCAGAACACAAAAAAAAATATATTTTTTTCATCCGTTTCTTTTCTCCTCAAATTCGAGAACGCACCGTAAAGTTTACACTTTACAGTCATACAAACTCTCATGCACTCTTCAACATACTTGAACTAGTAACATTTGAGAAATAAACCAAAGATCTTAGCAGTTAAGTTATCCCTCAGGATTCAATTTGTCACTTTTGCTTGTTAACATTTGTTTGAGCATTTAAAAAAAAGGTAATGGTTGAATATCTGTAATAAATTCATGAATAAATGGGAAAATGGATTCTCCTAGGGGTTTGTTAGATTTTTCACTATGAATATTTAAATATTGGAGATGTCACATTTTAGGCACACAAAAAAAAATTTGAAAATAAAAACCAGAACAAAGTACGTTTCATTTTAATGCAATTTGTTCCTTTTGACAGCATGAGATGTATGGGTGAGATTGGCATGCACCTCAACTAATCCAATAGGCCTTGTAATGAACAGTCTGACACACCATTAGTACTCTTGAGGGGACTTGATCTGATAACCTTTGAGAAGTAAACCTAAGATCTTAGCAATTGAGCTACCCCCTTCAGGGTTCAATCTAACACTTTAGTCGTTAACAATTTTTTTGAGCTTTTAAAAAAGGTAATATTTGAATATCTGTAATAAATTCGCGAATAAATGCGAATATTGATTCTTCTGGGGGGTTTGTTAGATATTTCACTATATATAAAACTTTCTATTCGTATTTCTCCGTTCATACACAACCTTCTCTCTCTACATACACACACACACATACAGTCTCAGTCTCTTTTTTCACTATTCCCCATGGCTTCTTCCTCCTCTCACAATGGTAAGCGATTAGAATGTCAAAAAGAATCATCTTCTCGTAAAAAAAATCATTCTTTGTGCATTTTCTTCGATTTACTTTAGGAATTTTCAATCTTTATGCCTCTAAATCCATTTTTTTCCTGTGATTACATCGTGTCTTCTTATTTTGTGAAGGAATCAAGAACGAACTGTACAAGGAGCTATGGATGGCTTGTGCAGGCCCTTTGGTTGATATCCCTGTCCAGGGAGAGAGAGTTTTTTACTTTCCGCAAGGCCACATAGAACAAGTATCATTTCAAAGCGTTGTTCGTCTAATCTTTATATTTTATTAACAAAAATTAGTCTGATTTTCTTCTTATAAAAACTTGTGCTTTTAGGTTGATTTTATTTCCAAGAAAATGGATTCGACAAACTATATCAAATTTGATAGTCGTTTTTACAATGAAATTTTTATAATTGGTCCGTAAGATTCAAATTTGTGTAGATAGCAGTCGAATCAAAAACCCTATGAAGATGAGTAAAATCGATTTTTTAAGCAAATTTATTGTGTAGGATCGAGCAGGAACAAATCACCTTTATACAATAAATTTTATGAGTTACAAAATTTAGAGGATCAGAGTGACCATCACACCAACTACTCCCCTCGCTTTGTCACGTGATATTAAAATTTCTAAGATACTATATAATCAGTGTTTAAAAACTTGATTTGATTATTTCTTGCAAGATTGAATTATGGATATATACGCATACGCATACGCATCTGCATCTGCATCTGTATCTATATCTACATCTACATCTGTTTGTTTTTATCCTCTAAAAACTCATCTTCTACATTTGAAAATGGAAGTCATGTGGGATGCAACTAATTATTTACCGAAAGTATTTGTATTCTTTTATGTATTCATATAAAGATGATAGTCGGTTTTCAGGAAAACACCCAAATACAAAAATTTATTTGTAATTTTGAATAAATTATTATATAAGAGTACGAAATTTTACTTATATATCATGATTAATTTAAACAGCTGGAGCTAGAGGATTCAATGAGTGATGAACTCATGAATCAACAAATCTCAAAACTCGACCTACCATACAAGATGCTTTGTCGTGTCATCAATTTTGATTTGAAGGTATATTTTATTTAATAAAAAATAAATATAATTTAGTAATTAATTAATTTTATTTAATGAAAAATAAATTATAGTTTAGTAATTAATTTTTTTTTATTTTATACTTTTAATTTGTATGTATTATTTTTTCTTTGTTTAGGTTGAACCAGAAACTGATGAAGTCTATGCCATCATCAGGTTACATCCATTTCAAGAAGTGGTAGGTTTAAATTCTTTTATGAACACACATACATAATAAGAGGTTCATATAAAAAGATTGTAAAAATTGAATGTCAATGAAAAGTTCAAATATAATTATTGAAAATATCTATTTGAAAATATATGTGTGAATCCATATAAATAACCTGTAACGTTGATTTATATATACATCTTTAAATATAAAAAAATTCAGTAATTTCGTATATAAGTATTATTTTAACATTCTTTTTTTTAATTGAGTGGCCTCTAAAAGCGTGCACACACATGTGTATATATATTCATTTTCTATGAAAAGAATCATATGTTAGAGATAGACGATTTTCCGAAAATTGATGTTATCATATATCATTGTTATTTTTGTTTACTTGACGTTTAAAGTTGAAATCGTGATAAACGGTAGGTACATGACACCGCTCGCTACGGCCATCCACCATTAGAGGAGCCAAAGCTGTCTTTTCGCTCGTTTTGTAAGATCCTAACTACCTCTGATACCGGCAGTGCATTCTCAGTGCCTAAAAAGCTTGCGGAAAATTGTTTGCCTCCACTGGTAATTAACTCGTTGAACTCATGATATTTAAGCGATTAAGTTTTTTCATCTATTTTCTTTCGGTAAAAACATATTTTTCTTTCAAAAATCAATGGTTTATTTGTAGGATATTAAAAAAAAATGGTTAAAATATATTTTGTATTTTGTTTTAGGACATGTCACAACCACAACCAAAACAAGAGTTGATTTTAAAGGACCTCCATGGACGCACATGGCATTTTACGCATGTTTATAGAGGTATCTCCCTTTTTCTTTTACTCTACAAAAATATTTACTTTTTAATCCCATAAAATGAAATTTATTTTATTTCTTATTTAATATAATGATCTCGATCGATATAACAAGCGTTTTTACACATACTTTATCTGATATAATTTTATTTTGATGTGGTAATTTTCAACTTAATCAAGAATTATAATATAACTTGACAGTTTTTCTTTCACATCATCAATAGTTACAAAATCTACTGATTGCCAATCAAAATGGTTATAAGATAAGAAAATTTGAACATATGTAACACTAAATAGGAACCAAAATCACCTTCTTTACATTTTCGTATTTTGGGCTTTCTCTAATCTCTCACGATTATTGTTTTAACTTGAATTGTCAGGAAATCCTCGAAGGCAGGTTATCACTGCTGGCTGGACCACATTTGTAGCTTCAAAGAGACTAGTCGCGGGAGATGCTTTAATTTTTGTGAGGTACTCGGCTTCATTTTAATTTGATGAAATCGAATGCAAATAACAAACGGATTTCCTTAGAAACATTATCTAAAATCAGTATCGAATGCGAAAATACATTTTGTAAAAGATAAATTTTAACATTCCAAGTATTTCCATTTTATCAAAGATACTTGATATTGCATAACTCAAAGTACATGTTTATGTACAATTTGCAAAGTTTAGATACTTGATTAACAACCACCTCCATCTCCATCTCTTGTAGACATTCAAATAATGAGTTAGGTATCGGGATTAAACGATTTCGGCAACAAATTCCCTCGACTTCTTCGATCCTATCAAGGGAAAACATGCACACGGGGGTCCTTGCTTGCGCTTCGCACGCTCTTTATACAAATAAGGAGTTTGTGGTCTACTACAACCCCAGGTACACTTCTTTTTCATAAATAAAACCTCATTTTTAAACTCCATAAATCAAATCCAAAACATTCTAAAAAATATATATTATACCCTACATCCTTATCATGGTCATGGTGGAGGAAAATTAAACGTCTGGATTCGAAGCCCAGACCTTCCATGCATTCATTTTGTAAAAATGTCCACCATCTTACCTCTGAGTGTATCTTCTTCAAGAAATTTAATAGGATTTGTGGGAATCTTTCAGGGCATGGCCGTTCGTCGTACGGCTACATAAGTATGTTGTAGCCAACGCGATTAATTTCGCAGGCTCGAATATTATGATGAAACTCGCGTCGGAAGAAGATTCCCACATCGAAATCAGGCAATTTTTTCGTTCATCCAAGATGTTGTTGCTCTTACTTGTTTCCGTTTCTAGTATTCACATGTTTGTGTTTGATTTCATCAGGCATACCGGAGTAGCTTTAGAAGAAACCGATATCTCTGAAGAATGGCCAGGTTCTACTTGGCGATCAATAAAGGTTTCTTGTGAACTTATTATTATGTATATATATATGAATCGATCTATCTATTTTGGATGTGTGTGTATATATCTAACTTTATGTAACTACTTACTTGCAAGGTTCGATGGAAGAAAGTTGTTGATCAAAGGTCTACTATTCGGTTGCCAGAGAGGGTGTCTCGCTGGCTTCTAGAACTTGCCGAAGATGGTAGATCCAATGTTAGAGAATTGGAAGCAGGATCGTCGTGGTCAAGGCACAAGAGGTTGCGAATATATGAGCATGGTCCAATGAGTCATGGTGGTAATGCCAATTGGGGCGAGTCAGTGCATGCCATCCCTTGGTCATCAACTGGCTTAGTAGATGAAGGAAAAGAATGCGAGAATCCACAAGTGTTAAGATTGTTTGGCGTAGATATACAGCTCGTCCCATATTCTAGTGGTCATGTAATGGTGCAAGCGCAAGGGAACGATTTGGTTCAAACGGTGGACTTGAGTTTGCTGGAAGGATATGAAGAGCTCAAAAAGGAGTTGGAGAAGATTTTCAAGATCAAAGGCGAGCTTCATGGCCACCAGAAATGGGAAGTTGTATATGAAGATGGTGATGGTGATTTATTGGTTTTGGCCGACAAACCATGGAAGTAAGTAATTTTATTTTATATATACATACATACATACATACATACATACATACATACATACATACATACATACATACATACATACATACGTATATATGTATGTGTTGTTTTTGTTCATATATATATATCATTTACTTTGTTTTTGGGTTAATTGTGAATTGGATGTTTTGTGCGATGTGATACAAGGGAATTTTACGAGATTGTGAAGAAGATCATTTTAAGGGCGAGTGATTATGAAGTGAAGAAGATGATTGATCTTGGATTCAAGCTTTATTTGTGATAATAGTAGCTAGGGGGTTTCATGTGAATGGAACAAGTTTGTGTTGTATTTTGTTTTATGGACTTGTCACTTTCAATTACATAAGAACGAGAAGGGTACTCGCGTAATGTACTGAAATACATCTTGATTTTAATGTTTCGTTTTATTTTGTTCCCTGTCGATGTTACAATACGGTTTTATGTGGTTTTGAGAAAAACAATAATATTTTTATTTTTGAATAAAATATAAATTCAAAGATATCTTAGAATTTTTTTTTAAAATAGCGATGTTAGTATCAAATTAATTATTTAAAAGTTCTTGTTTTGTTGTGTAATTTTTTAAATTAGGTTTTAATAATGAAGTAATTTATTTCTGATTTAATAATATATTTTTTTATAAAGATAATAATTAAGTATTATGTTAAAACACAATATTTATCCTAATTATATTTTATATTTAAAACGAAATGTTTATCCAGTATTTGATTATGTTTATCTGCAGTTAGTTACACGAATTCAAGTATGGAGCTTTAATAAGTTGTAATTATAGATTATTTACTTGTAATCTTGAATTTTAAGTAATATGCATCAATAAACAGTATTTTATGTATAAAAAATGATTTCTAAGAGTTTTTGTGAAATACTTTATAATATAGTATGTATATATATATGCTTCATTTTTCTCTCCTTACTTTTGTCAATCCAAACCCCTTTTTTCCATATCATTCTAACAGATTCTTTAAAATAGAGAAAATAAATGTTTTGAAGAATTTTAGATCCGACACATTCTTTAAAATAATAAAGAAAAATAAAAGAGGATAAAACTCCCCAAATCCGTAAAACATTTTAAAATTTAATGTTATGAGAGAGAAAATGGGGATTTCGGAGCATTTACAACATTAACCATGTGTTCTTGAGACGGACAGAAAAAGGAAGGAAAAAAATTATTTGTGTTTTCAAATTGTAGGAAAGAAAATATTTTTTCATGTTCTTGAACATTGAGAAATAAAAAGGATTTTTCTTTATCAATATGCCTTTTAAAATTATATCATTTAGAATGAAAGATTGGATAGTTTTTTAATTTTAATAAAAAATTAATGTCTTTTGGTTCCATTTCCTCTCGCATTTGAAAGGAAAGTTTTGGAAGAAAACTTATCATTATTTTTTTTCCTTTTTCTGTTAAAAAAGTTTTAAAAACAAGTTTTTTTTTTACTTTCTCGTAATTTCCCTCTCTTTCCTCTCATTCGTAAAAGAACAAGGCATAAGAGCATTCCATCACATTCTTTAAAATAAATAAAATGGAGATTTTTTATTTAACACATTCTTTAAAATATAGTTTTAAATAATAAAAACAAGAGAATATATATTTGGAAAAATCTTTAAAATTTGATGTCATGAGTGAAATATGTTTTTTCCTTTTCTCTCAATTTTGTTTAAAAGTTTGTCAGAGATTCTATAGATTTCTTTTATCCAACATATTCTTTATAATAAAAAATTTAAAGAAAATGTAAACAAATCTGGAAAAAAAATCCTTAAAATTCAATGTGTTTTCAACTCTCTCTCTCTTTGTGTCTAAAATTTATTTCATATTTTGGAAATATGTTGAGTCCACATATTCTCTAAAACAGAAAATAGATAAAATAAGAGACAAAATAATGTTTTCCAAATTTAAAAACAAATAACTTTAAATTAAAAGTTGTAAAAGGAAAATATGTTTTTAAATGTTAAAAACAATCGAGAAGATAAATAAAATTTTATTTTAATTTAATTTAAAGAAGTTGTTTTATTATTTTACATCTTTAAATTAAAGAAAAAAAAAATATTAAAGTTAAAGATTTTTAATTTTTAATTCCCTAATTTAAAAGTTTTGAAATTAGCTTTGGATTATGTAATATTTACATCTACATCCCTCTATAAATGTCGTTTAAACAACTACAGTCCACAAGTATGGACCTACAATAACTCCCTGTTTCATCACCAAACAAAACGGTAGGGTCTTTGCAAGTCCACACTTCCAAACCACGAAATTCGATCGACCGACGAGCGTCATGCGGTTTTGGAATAATATCGACCGATCACGGCTTTAAAACGAATCATACCTAATTTAAGAACCGACGGTAATCAGCATAACTTCATATCATTCTCAATCTAAAAACCACTGATATGATTCACAATATTTGAGATGTCACACATGATGAACATAACTGCAAACTCGTTACAAAACGATACAGAAACCATAGCTATACACCGACTAGCTAACAATTCGAAGCAAACAACTTTGTACATTAGGCACTACAATTGCATTAAAATACCTGCCACGGCCCCAGGGGTGGCACCCTGGTGATTCCAGGATGGTGGTTGGTATACTGACACAAACATACCTGCCACTGCCCCCGGGCATAGCAACCACAGTTGGTTCCAGGATGGTATACTGACACTAACATACCTGCCATGCCACGCCCTAGGGTGTAGCACAATTGGTTCCAGGATGATATACTGACACAAATATGCCACTAGGGTGTAGTACAGTTGGTTCCGGAGTGGCATACCGACACTGGGATGATGACTAGATGAACATCCATCCAACAGTCCACCCAAGAAGCAAACCCGCACCAACAAGCCCTAACCCGACCGCAAAAGCCACAGCATACGTGCCTATATCATGTTTGCAACTCGGAACACCTTTTTTGGGTCGTGTTTTCCTCTTGGCAGATGGCGGGGGCAAATTTCTGCGTGCCTTTTTGCGAGCTACTTGCCATGGAGAAACCGGGAAGACGGGTGTGATCTTGTTGGTTTTGATTTGATTATAAAGATTTTCGAGTTGTAGAAGATAGAGCCATTGCTTATATGCGAATAACTGAGATGCTTGTTTAAAGATGAGCTTCACGACATGTTCTTTCTCTGCGTAAGCTTGTTTTGCGGCTTTTTCTGCTTCCCTTGCTCGTGTTTGAGAATGGCGCAGAGCTTCTAGTAGCTTCCATTTGGCTGGATCCATCCCGGGAGTTGTTGAACCTTCATGAGCCGTGGCATCACCGCTCTGTGTACTTAAAGGGCTGACAAGATTCGAAAAGAGAAGTACAAATCAATGACATTTTGGGTCAAACTTGTTGCTAATAATTCAATTTGGGTGCGTCATTTATTGCAAATTTGAAGAGTTTACCAGAAAACTTCAACATGGTAATCTATGTTTTCACAACATCTAAAGAGTTCATATATATAATATAACTACAGAATTCAAAAGTAAATAGTTTGACCTTAAAAGTCTTTAACACTACAAGAATAATATCCGCTTTATAGAACCCCAACTCTGTCTAAATGTCCTAAACAAACCATTTTATAGGACTCAATTATGCATTCTATAGAACGCCAAATCCGTCAAAAATATTCTAATAGATTGTTTTATAAGATGAACAATTATGCGTCCTATGTAAAGGTGGTGCTATAGGCTGAAAAACGTTTTTGGACGTTTTAACAGGATATATTTGAAATAAACAGCTGATTAATCTTTTTATATGATATTATCTGAAAAAGTATTATAAAAACAAGTATCCTGTAAACAACATATGTGTTCATATGACACTTCTCCAAAGTGTCAGAATTTTCAAAAGTGTCCTAAAAATTTTGTGAAGATCCCCAAAAGAAGTCACGACATCATGATCCGATGCTTTTACACAAACTCACAATTGTTTGATCCTCAAAACTTTAAAGTCCTATAAAGTGATGCTTAAACTTATTTGGCGTACTATAAAACCGATCTTGTTTTAGTCTTAAAACCAAACAGTTTGACCTTAAAATGCGAGCTATACCTGACCGGCCCTGAACTGGCGTTATGCCTGTCGTGAACGGTTTCTAGAGTTTGACAATGGTGCTGTTGTGGCTTCGAAATCCCGAATGTGGTAAAGATTTCATCTTTTTTGTGTAGGCATTGATCTTTAGCACGTGGGTCTCTCTTAAAACTTTTGTTTTGCGGCTGCGGAAGATCGCAATTCTCAATGAAATCGTGTGATCTCTTTGCAACAAACGAAGCCAGATCACCTTTATCGGTCATCCGCCACCATGGCAGCTCGTGGTTCTTCTCGTTCTCCATCCAATGAGGAAACTCCGAGTCCAAACTGAACTCATCCAGTTCTTTCAAAACAGTACAGCAATCAACAGAATCCATCTCCACAAACTCATATGATTCTTCTTCCCCTACATGATCGCCCTTCACAGTTGATTGAGAATCCATAATGTCGACAAATTGATGAGAATTTCCGGCCTCGAAGGTGTTGATTTTTTCGTTAGTCAAACCCTTTTGGTATATAAAGTTCGACTGCGATTGAAGCCACCATCTCGACTCCGGAGAAAGATTTGAATACACAGTGTTGGCGCTCGGAGGGGCAAAATCGTCCAACCCATTCGTAGTAGGTCTAGTGTCAACTAGTTTAGTCAATGAAGAAGAAGCCGGAGGAACACATGCTAATTTGGGAGCTCTTTTCGCATCTTCTTGGACGAAACAACGGTTGGCGGTTCGTTGCCACGCTGCTCGTGCTTCGGCTGCGGCCATTACTCACTCATTCCATCAATACATCATATTGATTCATATATAGACCTAAAGTTTACCATTTGATTAGATGAGAAATTGCATTCTATAACAGATATGTTGCAAATAATCAAACAAAAGATGAACAATTACACAAATCTTAATGTGATTCTTGAAACAACTGTGGATAAATATGAAAACAGTCGGTAATATTTCCCAAATGAAGTCAAGAAAGCAAAGGAATGGCAGAATTGATCCCTAAAGAAATCTTGAAATGCCTAAATTGAAGTCACCAAAAGGAACCCAGAAAAAAGGATTTGGATAAGTGATAAATCTAGCTTCAAATGCCTAAATTCATCTCTCATTTCAGTTAAAACCTCAAAAAAAAATGGAAATTAACGAGAAATTATGATGTTTTTCAAATGGGAACTCAAGAACCCTAAATCAACAAACTTAAACTGAGAAACCCAGTATCAGAAACAAAAATTTAGAACCAAATAATCAAAGATATGAGATTTTTGGTCAAAATAAAGAGAGATTGAACCAGAAACAAGAACACCAAGAGAAGATCTGATGTTTACAAACAGTTAATGCGATGGAAGAAGCTACAGAACAGCTTGATGCAAATTAAACAAATACGTCTCGAAAAACTACGAATTTAACAAATGGGCAATTGGTAATTCACGAAGAAGTTGTATAAAAAAAGCAAAATCAGCCAAGAATTATAACATCTATAGAAGCAATATATGAACAGTAGTGGAGATATAAAGATCAGGAAGAAGAAGGAAACTGAAAGTAAGGAATCTCACCAAATATTGATGGGAAAGTGGAAGGGGTTGTGAAGATCTGAGTGTGAAATTATGAAGGTGGATTGAATCTTGTAGCTTTATGATGATGTTGAATCACCATTCTTTGGAACATGAATTTTCATTCCATTTTTTGGTTTATTTTCGGTTATTGTTTATCTACTTTTCCCACTTCTTCTGTTCCTGGACGACGTCGTTTCTTGGTTCCTTTTTCTTTTTTCTTTCTTTTACTTAAATATATAGAAATAGATCCACTAAGAATTTGGTGTTTGATAATTTTTGGTTGATGACATGTATACTATAATTGTAACATTAATTTTATGTTGACAAAATAAACTCAGTGTTTATTTAAATAGTAATTAAAAATAAAAATAATTATTTAATTTCATATAATATAATGCGTTCATTGTTTTATAAGTCTAAATTTTCGGTCCAATTTAAATTAAAGGAGTGAAAATTTCATTTTTCTGTTTTGACCAAGATTTGAAAAATAATTTCGATCAATTAATTATTATTTAATATCTTTGACTAAAAACCTGTTAATCTTCTAAAATTCAAATAGCCTTATGGTGTTATCTTTCTAAACACCAGTTGGCCTTTTGAACTTAAGCATCTGAATTTTGGTTTGCCTTTCGTAACTTTATATAGTGCAACCCCTTTTGATTGGAGTTCTACGGTGGGAAAGAAAGCAGCTCGAAGGTGAGAACTAGCTTGTCCTAAACCATTTAAGTTATGTGGTGCTACCTCTTTGACCCCACTTTCTAATCAGTTAGTACAACCACTGTAAGAGGCGTTGTCTTTTGACCCCATGCTTCATAGCAATCTTATGTTAAATTAACTTTTTATAAGTGTGTATTTCACATCTCTTAATCCATATTGTAGTTTATTGATCTCGTGTAAAAGCATCAGTATCCTCAAAATGATTCATAACATTAGAATCAAGTACATATTGAAAAAAATATGTATTTAAACAATTTGGATCATAGGTTAAAAGTTAAATCACTTGGGTTGAAAATACTATCAAATGACTGATAATAAAAAATAGCTTGCTTAATTTATTGTGGCAAACTAATAATTGAATATCATAAAAAATTTAGAAAAGAAAAAGGAAATACCATCAGAAACAAATATTTTGTACACGTTGGAAATATATGAATACAAGAAACTATCGTATCATTCTTTTTGTTTGATTAGATTTTTCTAAGTATGATATCTAATTTTTTTTATAAGAGTTGCATGTCCTATTAGTCTGATAGAAGCTTATCCAAGCTCCTAGCTCAGTTTGAGCGACTTTATTCGCAAATAATGTCAGAGGTATCTTCAAGTCGGTTGATTAGGGTCAAATTGTATCCCAGATCTAGAACTGTTTTCAACAGATTGTGTACCCATAAATCCAGAAATTGACAAAGTAATATTTTTGGCCGGATTATTTCCGATATAATCATAAAAGACTAATTTTTTAGGAATTTGAAAATCGTATACTCGAGTTTTTGCTCCTACTCTTCTTCTCCTTTTAGGAGAGGGTCGTCATTGATCCTTATAATAAAAATCAAATACAACAACTTCAAATTTTTAATGTTACTATAAATTTTGTGATATGTCAAACATCTTGTAGTATCGATCATAATTTTATATTAATCTGGATTTATCTATTTAAATTTTTAAAAATTATATATCTTTGACTAGATTTTTGGTATAATTTAATTTTCTAAATTTCTAGAGTCAAAAGAAAAAATATTCTTTGATTATTACCATTAAGGAGGTTTAATTTAATTTATCATATTTTTATTAAATTATCTTAACAATATAATTAATCTTAAGAATTTAAATTAAAAATTATGTTTTTTTTCATCCAAAGGCATGTCTGCAATGCGTTCGGCATTCCTCCAATCCCAAGTAGCTCCTTTTCTTTTAACTAAAGAGCATTTGACTTAACGGTATCGTAGCATTTAAAAGTCAGATATTCAAATTTCACCAAAGATAAAAATGGTGTAAATAAGTTTATTTATTGCATTTATCATATATATATATATATATATATATATATATAGTTATTATATGATAAAAAAAAGTTATAGAATTTGGAAATATTGTTATTTCCAAAAATGGGTTGTCATTAAATCCATACGACAGTAATTATTGCTTTTCAGTAAAAAACTATTGATAAAAATATCAGAGTCATCATGCACGTGGCAAAAGAAGGATAGATGAGGTGGCAAATAAGGATAAGGACTATGACTATGCACCTTTGGAAGCAAACTGTTTCATTGGTTGATTTTAGATTTCTTTTCTTTTCGGTTCTCGGGTCGGGTTGAGTAAAAACCCGACTACCGTATTTGGAGGGTGGGACAGATCACACACGTGACGTGATGTGTGGTTTTTGTCGTTTTGTGGTAGAACAACAACCATGACTTACAACCAATTCCGTCTTTACTACTTTATCCGTCTTAAAATAATATTTTACATAAATAAATGTTTATTTTTAAAAGTAATGTTTGTTTTGTTATTTTTCCCTTAATTACAAATAGAAAAATCTTTTAGTTATTATAAAAAATAATCATTTTATTAATTTAAAAATGTAATAGTTACATTTTTAAAAAAATTGTATGTTTCTTTTACCATAAACATTATTTGAAAATATAATATTTATTCCAAAAGATTTCTATGATTTATGTACCATTTAATTAATTAATATTGTTATTAATAATATACCAAAAGATAATTAATGTTGTGGGGTATTTCCAACATATTTACTAACATTGGAAAAAAAAAGATTATAGAGCTCTTGCGTTGCGTAAAGTTGAAATTGAAAAACTTCCATCACTCTTATATAAGGGGTCGTTTGTTTACCTATTAATAATTTAAGAGGTAGCATCTGAATCGTTAAGAAGTGAATCTTATTTGACAAAAAAAAGTTTGTCTCTTAATGGTTTTAAAACCATCTGAATGATTTTGTATCATGAGCCTCCCTTAACCATTCAACGCCTTAATTTCATACAATTACCAAACAATTATATTTCATTTTGCACTATATCATGAGAGTCTCTTAATTATTTCGATCAATTAATCATTTTAGCAACTGTCAAACAGCCTATGAGTTTATAGTAACATCAATCAGTATGATAGAAAATTTCTTGAGTCACTCGATAACTGATATTAATGGAAGGGTGTGGGAAATTTCATTACAACTAATTTATGTTAATAAACTTGAATAAAGATATGATTCATCAAATATTCTAGTGTTTGAAAAACAATATAAACATATCATCTATTTTGTCATTTAAGAATAATAGCAAGTTTTTATATTAATTATAAATAAAATATGAAATGAGTAAAAGTTAAGTGTTTAGGATTAGGTGGGATGGGAATAGAAAAATCAATGGGTGCTCATTGGAATCTCCAATGAAACTAACAAACAAATCCAACACAAGAATCTTAAGCAACTCATCATCCATAGAAATTAGAAAACATTTTCAAACACCATCTTCTTATTTCTAGAAATTATCTTCTTCTTTTCCTTATATTTTTTTGTAAATTATTCCTAAATCACAATTTTAGTCCATATATTTATAATTTGTCGTTGTTTTCATTCTTATGATTTACAATTTATTGTTGTTTTCGTTTTTATGGTTTATAATTTAGCTTATTATAAATTAATGTTTGTTTTTTAAAGATGATATTCTTTCAAAACAAGCTTCGTGGATTTGTAAGAGTTGAAATGTTACAAGCAACCTATTTTGACCAAAATGGATATCATCAATTTCACTAAATTACAATTTAAGTACAACCTAAATATATCTCATATAAATATCAAGGTTTTAATGCTATGCTTGATAAACTAGTTGATAAGCTAGCTCATAATTACAAATTAACTGGTAGTTGATAAGTTAGTTGATGAACAAATGTTTGACAAAAATTAGCTTATAAACATGTAAAATGATCAAAAATTGCATCTTGAAAAATTTATCAATTACAATGTTTAATAATATAACTAAAGAAATTTCTAAAAATATAATATGTTAAATTAAAAGAATTTCAAAATGATTATTATATACATTATAAGTTTTAGATTTGTTAAAACAAATTTTAGAAAAAATCTATTAGTTTATGATTTTAAATAACTATTAAATATAATATGAATAAACATAAAAATGTCAACCTCACGTATTCTAATTAATTCATAGCTTTCCAAAATATTTAGTTAATAATTAAGTTAAACATTTTATTCGAATCATTTAACATATTTTTATTATCTACAATTCATAGCTTTCCAAAATATGTAACTAACTTATGGTCATCCAAATATGTACAAAAAAAATAAGCTAGTTTATGTTTGTCAAACAATGCATAAATGATATAAAAAATGATACTAAAATTAAGTAAAGGTAGGTCCTAATATATATTTTCAAGCGATACTACTACCTGATTGCAAGAAATGAACCTTTAATTATTTATGTAGAAGCTTTACAAATCAATTGATTTGTTCCTTACTCCGCAAGCAAACAGAGGACCCTTCTCACACCCAATTCTTCCCAAAAAAAAAAAAAAAATGCCCAAAGCCATGGGGTTGAGAATTTGCACCCTTCCAAAGGATGGATTTGAACATAGCGATCCATGTCACACGGTTTATAGACATACATGCTTATGTTATATTTGAATTATTATCTCAAAAGACTTGTAATAATTTGGATCATATCGATATAACTAAAATTTGGAAATATAGAAACTAATATTTATAAAAATAATAAGAAAAAAGGATAAAAGTGAAATGGTAGATCCTTCGTAAGTTGAGCAACATGTTTTTACCAAGAAGACACTATTGTTCAAAACAGAATTCTTAAGATGAGGTATTGAAATTGAATGGTTAATGAAAGCTGTTGATTTATATTTTATGAATTATGAATTTATGATAGTGGATATAAAAAGTAAAAAGTAAAAAGTAAAAAGTAAAAAGTAAAAGGTGAGGGGGCTGGGTTGGGAGATATTTATATATTTTTTTTTTCTGTTTTGGGCTTACATCTCTTTACCACAACAAACACAATGACGACGACAAGGCTTAAGAAATGTTTATTTATGGGCCTCAATCTCCCATAAAACAAAACCCAATCCATCTGCCCCTAAACCTAAATACCCCTTCACTTACACTTTTAAACAAATATATATATATATATATATATATATATATATATATATATATATTAATGTTTTTCTTGGGAGTGTATTAAAAGATATTATATACTAAACATTTGAAATGTGTTCAACACTTGTGTGAGTAAATACACATGCGTCTTAGATATACGATTTTGCATCAAAGTCGATATTATAGATTACAACATATAATGACAGGGTTTTGATTTTATCTTGAATCCCTACTTGTATTGACCAAAACATTGATTTTGGTTCGCTTCTATTTTACTTGTCAAAGAAGAAGTCGATACCGGCTAATATGATCATAAACATGTCTTAATCACTTGGACAAAGACAATTGATTATAGATATCATCAACGTTATTATCAAATCCAAATTATATAATACATATTTTTCTCTACTTATACTTATAATAACATTGACGATAGCTACAAAAATTTTATTTAAAACAAAATATTTCCTTCACATTTGAAGTATTTAAATCGAATGAGATGCGTAACCATTACACTTTTTTATGCTAAATTACATATTTATCCTTATTTTATTTCCCTTTCTCCACAACTCTTTAATATTTGTACATTAATTAAGGGTATATTTAAGAATTTACTTACTTAATTTTAGAAATAACCTAAACATAAAAAGAGTTATATGAAAGGAAGAGTTTGATACAATAAATAAGGACAAATTGCATTAAAAAAATTAACGTAATTTAACTTGATTCATATTTTAAGTAAAATATACTTTCAAAAACTTATATTTTGGTACTTAAGATGTAAAATTGTAAATATTTAAGTATCCGGATAACCTGTTGAAGACTAATTTTAGATTAAAAGAAATTCATGTCACTAACCATATTAATAAATAATACTGAGTTAGATACCATATCACTTGTCAAATCAACATAATAATTAATTAATGAAAGTTTTAAAACTATATTACCAAAATAAGAATCAAACTAAAATAGGTTATTTTTTATGCAATTTACTTTGATAAATAAAAAATGAAAATATTTCATATTATTTAGAAAGAAAAAAAGTAAGGAGTTAAAAGGCCGACCAACAAACAAAAGGTGAAAAGTACGAGAGAGGGAGGTATCATTCTAGAATCTACGAGCAAAGAGCAAGGAATCCCCAATTCAGACCCCTTCTTCTTCTTCTTCGTAATCCATATCAACACCTTCTGAATCAAAAATTGGATTGAAATGGAAGCAAATCAGACAGTAATGGAGCACAACGCCTGTGGGATGATATCTTGCGACAAGATTGATCGGATGGCTAATTGGATTGGGAACAGCGTCGCCTCCGCCTTTTTCACCTCACTCGAACGCTGTTCTTGCATCAATCTCAGCACCTCTCACGATGAATTTGATGAAGGAGATGATGATGAAGAGGCTAAAGATCGTCCGCTTATACTCACCAAACCTGTCATCTTCCTTGATGGTTCTCATCATGAACCCGATGCTGATAAGCTTCCCCCTGTGTAAAGTTTACAAATACACATGCACTTGTATCTAACTATGCTTCACTAAAAACTTTCATTTTGTGAATTTCATTTCATTTTGATGCAGTCTTGATAATATGAGTTTGTTTTTCATTAGGATATTATCTTAATCTGAGCTCATAGGTTGCTAATCACTGTTAATTTGTTAAAATCAAACTTCATTACAGATTCTCATGTTGTGAAGATGCTCACATGAGCGTACGTGTTTCAGTGTTTGAACTTTGAGCTCTTAGGAGAATGATCATCGTTTCTCTATAAAAAAGTTTAGTTGGTGACGGGGTTATTTATTTTTGGGGTTCCTACGAATTTGAAGAAATTTTCTATGGAACTGTCAACCAGTTTGCAGATAACTTTGTTTTAACACTAATATGCATGTGTTTTTGTGTGTAAAATTTGAGCTAATTGGCTTATCCATGACTAGTTATGTTTACTTCTGCTATCATGTTCTGAAAAGGGGACTTGATTTTAGGATTCTAGGAACTGGATAAATTTTCTTGAGATTTATCATGATAATGCAGGAACGTATGCTTCTAGGAAGTAGGCATGTGAATTTAAGTTGTGTTAAACCGAACCCTCTGCTAAGTTCAATTATCTGAGGTTTTTTCTTGACACTGTTAGACTCTGCACCATGAACCTTTGATCCCTGTCAGTTGCAGTATCAGATCAAGTCTCCTGGCTGGATATTAACTTCTTATTTGGCTATCAATGAATCTTTTATGATTTATTTGGAGAGCTTCAGCTGTGCATGAGGTTGAATCATTACATTACTAGATCTATCTGTCTGATAATCTGTTTCTTCTCGTACCTCTGCAGACCTGTTATTAATCTAGTCTTGGTGTCGGTTTATCTGTTCTATCTCTGTTTCGATGTCTTGTAGTAAACTCTGGTGCACCAAGTTTCCTTGTCTTTGCAGGAGTTGCATGGGACAGCCTTGTGTGCAGTCTCTTTTCGTTGCATTTTTACGAAGGGGTTGTTTCATGGCTCGAACCCATGCCATTCATTTAAATAAGTTCCATGCTAAAGTTGGGAAGTGATTACTCTCTCCCATAATTAGTCCTAGAAAGACTACAATTGCATACAGAGATCCTTAATCACTAACATTATACCATTTAACAGGAATAATTTATCATGCTCTTTTTTGTCTTAAATAAAAGCTTGGATAGGGATTAGGAGGATGAAACCTGATTTCTGTAGCTGTCCACAGTGGTACTAGTTGAGTTGAAGAACATGAAACAGGTACTGCTCGATTAGTTCACATCTATTCTGGTTTGATAACCATGCTAATGAGTACTTGTTTATAAGTTGATTGATCCTGGCAGGATGGGAAATAAAATAAAGGGCACAAAACAACACAAGCATACTTAGTCTGTTTGTTAGCAGCTTAAATGAGACTTACTGCTTATTCGGTTAGCTATATATGACTGTTTGGTAGTGGCTTAATGATATAAAGAGTAGCTTATACAGTAAGTTTCTAGGGGAAGCTTTATGTAGAAAGCCAAGTTTTTTTTCCCTAACATGTCCTTCCCAATTAAAAAACATGCTCATTCCATCTATGATAAAACTTTCCTCAACAAAAACCTTTCCAATCTATACAAATAGCTTAATCCATACAGTGCTTAATGGAAAACCAACCAAATTAGTATGGTGAAATTAAAATTGGAAAGATAGGTTAATGTCGATGTAGGGTTTTACGAACCATGGGTAAAGCCTAGCACTTGGAGTTCGTTCTTGCTATTTACACATCCCATCTTCCCTCATGCCCAATAAAATTTGTCTAGTTGATGCACCTTGGCAAACTAATAATCTGGTGAGCTAGAGATCAGCAGTACCAGGATGGATTAGAACATGAAGGGTGAATATGTCCCTTACGGTTTCAACTTTCAACTGCCACCACCTTCTAGGATTTGATGTGGAAATGATTGGTATTCCAAACCATAGTTGGCTTTTGGGTGAAAACTAACCACTAATCTTTTAACATTTAAAAGAAAGAAAACACTACAATATGCAGGAATATATTTTAACAAATTGTGGGAACATGAAGGCAAAAAGAAACTTAAGTATTGTACTAGGGATTTTTGATCTGAAATCAGAGTCCTGTAAAATGCGTATTCCCTTTTCATGTAATTCTGCACGAATGTTGGTTTATGTGTAATCTGAAAACCAAGTTTAATGATGGTCCTCGAGTTTAAGATGATGTCAATTACCATGTAGGTTAACATAAGACATATTAAGACTCGGAAATCCCTTTAGATGAATACGTTCAGAATGGGTTTCTCCTCTTTTTTTTTTTCTTTTTTTTTCGGGATTCTGTAGTGATTCTGAAAGGGTGTTAGATTGAGTGGGTCAAAACTGAACCAATAGTCAAGTTTCATAGTCATTCACGGGTTTTGGATCTTGAATGCAGCCATGGTTGATTTCCCGAATAGCTGATCCCAACTCCCAAGTGCTGCCACTTCTGTAGGAACCTTGTGTAGAGAAGAATCCAGAACCCGGTTTTTTAGTTATGTCGAGCATTTGACGGGTCTCAGCTGAAACTCTAATTGCAGGATACGATCCTGCATTCACTTTTTGGGTGTTCTTATTCCAATCGCAGGCCGTGACAAATGGGCTTCTTCAACCTTCACAGCCACTCTTGATCAATAATAAAGAGTCCTCCATCATCGGTACGTGAAATCCCTTTGAATCTTTCTATAAATGGGACTCCAACAGACTTTTGGTCTAGTGGTATTCAGGTTCCTATAGAGTCCAGCCAACCAGGAGGCCTGGGGTTCAAAAGTGAGAACAATGTGTCAAGTTTATTTGCAATATAAAAATATTATATTTTGAAAAAGAAAAATTCCAAGACCTGGTTCATGATGAATGGGGGGTTGTAGTTGATTAGACAATTGTGGCCCACATTAGACAAATGGTTCTTCATTTGATCCCAAAAATCAGCAAACCTGGACCCATCTGTATTTTGATGTCTTACTTCATATATTATTTAAATAAAGATACTAACCTTGGATTAAGCATAAATCCCTAAATGTTACATTTTCAGTTGAACCAAATTTGTTTAAATGATTCGATTTTTAATTTTTTTTTGGTAAACATGGGAATTTGGAGGACCACGAATGATCTGGAGTCGTCGTAGGTGAACCTTCATGGTTACATGGGTTTTGGCAACGTCTAGACAACCTCCTGCTTAACCAACAAACCATGTGGTTTTAGATTTATATTAGCAGAATACATGGACTTTAAGGGGTGTGTGGGATTACTTATTTAAAACAACTTATGTTTTTTTTTTGTAAAAGTGCTTATTAACTTATGTGGTATCAAACCGAAGTTTTGTAAAAAATGTTTGGATTAGCTTATGACGGTACCAAAAAACAATAAGTTGATAAGTTATTTTTTAGTGTTTGACAAATTTTGTTTATATATGTAAAATACCAAAAAGGACAATCTTCCATCCCCTTCTCCCCTCAATCTCCTGGTGAAGACCATCACCACCTCCAACCGCCGTGAACCACCATCTCCTTCCCCATGTCTCATATCCATTTTTCCCACCTTGTCTTCTCTCTCCCTTTCTTAGGTATTGATCTGTTTTCTTCCCCCGCCACCACTACTGCTTCAACTCCAACTGGGGTTGTTTTTGGTTATCGATTTTCAACCCTCCAACTCGATTTTGTTTTTGGGTTTGCAGAGATTAAAAATCGCAGAGGGTCTTCCTGGTTTTCTTTTGCAAGGACGGTGGTGGTGGTTCACCTGTTCATCCTCTTTTGATCTCTCTAAAATTTCTTAACCATTTTGATCTCGATCAGTAATCTAGGTTTGCTGTTCAATCTATTTGATTAATCAAGAGGTATCATGGGTTTAACAAGAGGTATCCATTGATTAGAATCAGGTGTTTAACTTGAGATTAGAGGGAAAGCGTTAGGGAAATCCATTGTTTCTAATTAGTGATTTCACAGACGGGGTGGGAAGATTGCTGAATTCATAAGGTTAAAATTGTAATCCGTCAAAAGTTGATTTTGATAAGTTAACAATGACTGACTTATCAAAAACTGTTTATTACCGGTATAAGCAGTTTTTTTTAAACCCAAACACAAAAAATAGTTTATTGGCGGTACTAGACTGAAATAAGTCGATAAGCATTATAAATAAGTAAATCCCAAACAACCTCTAAATCTTTTCCAATAAATTGGTGATGGTTTAAAAAAATTGTGGTAAGCGGCTCATCAAATTTGAATTTATTTATATTTTATGAATAAAAATAAAAATAAAAATTAAAATAAACATTGATTCATAATAACACTAACTTTAATCATGACATGAATTAAATAAATATTAAAATGAGTATAAATTAGCATTATTTTAAGTGTGTATTACACAGTAAAATTAAAATAAAATATTAACATTTGATGAATATGATTTTCATATTAAATTTTAATCTCTTGTTTTGTTAACTATGAGTGTTCGGATGTATCTCGACTAATTATAAAGTGTCGTGTCTGTAAAACAGTTAAATTGAATTGAATTTTAGTTGTCGTGCGGTAGGGGTAGGAGTAGGAGGGGTGTTTTTGTCAAAGAGGACGTATGTGTAGTCCACCCAGCATTATCATGAATCCCCCACCACATCCTGCTTTTGTCGCCTTCTAAAATCTAATTTCTCTTCTCTTTCTTTCTTTTTCTATTTTACCATAAATAAACAGTTAAATATTTTAAAATAATCCATAATTATGGTTGTTATATTAATTTTATATGATTTTCTTATTACAATATATAATTACAAAAACAAAGATACAATGTTCGGCCTTAATTATTGGATTTTAAAAGATTCTAAATATTTGAAGTTGTCGTCGTTTGAATATGTTGAAAACAGATCATCACTTAATTCTTTGTTTATTACTTTATGGATGCGGCCTGCCGTCAAATTGTTAACAAAAATTTATTAAATAGTAGACTCAGATCTTATGTGATTATAAAGTAAAATTACATGTGATATAACACGTTCAAAAAAAAAGACTCAGGTTGGTTGATACGACACATTTTGTGATTATGTATTTGTTTGCGTTTACATATGACTTCACTTTTTTTTGCAAACTGACCGTCTTTTCCTTTTCATTTAAATCTTTCAAGATATGCATTGAATAGATACATGTTATTAATAAATAAAACGTTGAATTGATGATATAATTTGTAGGTGGTCAACTTTTGTCATGATATTAAACCTTGATTTTTATGAACCAATGACCAATCACACCTTACATTTGTTGTTATTGCAAAAACTAGTTTTTCATTGTCATTATACAACACTAATATTTAAAATGATTTTCAAATAAAGACATAAAATTCCCACTCTTTGTATATAGAAATGAGAGTGATGATTTATTTATTAAGGGTTTTCTTTTTAGTTTACGCATAAAATTATCAGTTACTTTCAAGTTACATATTAAAAAAAAAGCGATATTTATCCTTCAATTATATTTCAAAAAACAATTAAAGTTCTAAAACATTTGCTCAAAGGCTCCAAACCAACAACAAATATACCATTTGAACGACATTCATTACCGGTTCAGTATTGAACTTATTAAGGCAACGCTCGAGGCATAAGACAATGAGTAGGAAGGCCCGATTTTGGTTTATCCATTAGAAGTAGTGAGTTTTCATGAAAACAACAATTCTACTTGTAAAGTAGAGAACACATTTGTGTACATCCCATATATCAGATTTGGGGTGGACTTAGTACGGTACCAAATGTCTTTCCCTAGTACTGTATACCAACAAATTATAATTGGTACACAAAATCCTATACCCATATATCAACCAACTGTACGTGGTGCCAACGTATTTCATTTGGTACATGTTGGTATCGATTATAACTTCAAGTAACATATATAAAAACTTGTCATTTTGTTCATATTTTAAATGACATTTTGAGTTTTCTGATAACACACATGAAGTTTAAATGTTTTAATTGCAAGAAATAGAAATTGCAAACATTCAAGTATTCAAACAAGATAATTAAAGTTACAATGTTTCATATTCAATACATAAAAAATACAAAAAGTTTAATAAATAAACAAATAAGTCGGTACTATGGTACTGTTATGGTATACAACTTCCAGTACCATATACCAGCCAAGCTCACATACTTGGTACAATGGTACCAACAAACTGTAGTTGATATGGTTAATACCATGTTGGCTGGTTTTAGTTTGATACAAATTTACCACCCTATACCAGATATTACTTTCGAGTTAAGCATACTGTGTTTGTTCGGTTTGGTTTTATCCACTTTTAAAACCTCATTCGGAGTGGAACAAATTAGGGGTTCAAGGTAGGCATTTGATGGTTGTAATTTAATTGGAAAAGTAAAGGCACTATCATGAGAACAGGAAGAATAGAGAGAGA